GTGAGCACCAGTGCTTTTCTCAGAAATGTTTTCAGCAAGTAAATTCTGGGTTCATAATTTTAATAGAAGAACCTATGTAATTAACTATGTCTTCCCTGGTTGACACAGCAAGAGTGCCCTCACTTATCCAGGAAAGCATAGATAATTTGAAGTGTTTAAAAAAGTGCACTTTTTAGTGCATTTAACCAACTTAGAGTGTAAAAGAGTGATCATACGTTGAAGAGAAGTACAAAGTTGCAGAAAAAATTGTCTAAGAAAAATTCATTGCATCTAATCTTTAAATCTCAGAAGTAACATTAAGCCAGCTATAATATGATAACAAAGTGCAAGGACAGATTCACGTGTAGTTCAGTTTTTCCTGAAGGGGAAACTACCTTTTTTATCTGTGTGGCTAGGTGATGATGAATCTAATGTTACAGTGCTGGTTGACCTCTTGCCAACTTGTTCAAATGTTTTTGCCCGTCAGCCAGCCAAGGTTTAGTCCTGGATCCAGGAGTGTGCCAGTTGCATTTGCCATCACCATAACTCTCTCAGGCCTCGGCAACATTTGAGAAGTTGCTCTGGGATTTTTTTGGTGGGGGGGATTTAAAGTTATGTGAAATCACGTTTGTATCAAGCTTTTCCTTGTGTTCATTGTGACAGAAGCTTATATCCAGCTGTCAAGTTCTGTTTTGAAAAGATGCACTTGTCTGTTTTGAATTGCCAGTAATCTAGTAGTCAAGTCCCTTGATGGTTCATCACTGATTTCATTTGAAATGTCAAACAGTTGTTTTCAGGGAACAAAGTTAGCCACTGAATTGTTTAGTGTGTGAAATAAACATAAGCCTTCACAATGTTTGATTTTCAGCACTTTGTACAGAAATTTAGGTTACTTACGAGGTCTGGGTCTTTCCAGCAAACAAACTGTAGGTTTGCTAACTTCCCAAACATTTTTCCATTTTGAAGTGAGAAATGAGCACCTCAGCTGGCATAAATCAGGGTGTGGCTGTACATTTCACCACAGCTCACCATTCTTAACCACTTGATAAAAAGGATGGTGTCCCTGTTACATCCACAACCAGGTTTCTCTAAAATATCTTGCTGAATAATTTCAAAATGCCCTGAAACATTCCAGAACCATTTGTAGAAAAGTCACAATTAGTGTTACAAATAACAATTGAGGTAATCTGCATAACTTCTTATACCTCATCTAAAAAAGGCGCAAGACGTTTCTCAACTTTGTAGAATGGCCTGGAACCTATTTTTAGAATTTCTATTAATAACTACCAGTAGTAGTAACTATTAATTTAATCATCATTCATAAATACAGGTACCTGGGACAGTTTTATCTATTCCCGTTGATCGATGTATTAACATTTGATAATGCCGGCAGGGAAGTAATAATGCCATGTTGGCTCATGGATAGGAGAGTTTAATCTGATCTGATTGGTCAGGAATCTGTGTGCATGCGACACGCTACACGTGCACAAAGTTCATTGAAGGGGATTCTATTGGACAACTTTTAAAAGGAATATACCATAAAATGGACAGGGGTGTTTGGGAAAATGAAAGGAAAGTTTTAGAACAAAATTATTGGAAATCCATCAGAGGTTGATTTCTGTTGACTCTGAATAAAAAGGAATTCATGAATGAGAATAAATATGTGCTTAGCCGGTCTTAAACTGACGTTTAAGACCTTGCTCAGGAGAACGAACATTGATAATGCCCAAGCTGCAGGTCGCATCCATTCTCCCAAGCACATTTTTATCCCCTTATTGATAACCTCTTGAAAATGAGGACTCAATGTTAAAAGTAATGAAAAGTGCCAATTTTAGTCATTTTAAATTATCTAGGCATTGTTGGACATTTGAGGGCACTGTTGCCATGATGTCAATCAGAAAAGACACCGTTCAGTTTTTGTTTGTTAAAATTGTGCATTCCAAATTTGGTTATAGAAAAGATTTATGAAAAGGCTTTGGTCATTGGCTTATTGCCAAGTACCAGTACCTAAACAACAATCACCAAAGAAACGGATATGTCAAAAATTCCTGCAGTTTCTTTGTGCATAAATTAATGGAAGATGACATCACAGTGTTGCTCATGAATACGGAAATTGCATTAGCATAAAATCCAGAAGGGCAACTAGTTTTACAACAGCAAACCAAAATTGAAAATATGATTAATTGAAACACAGAGGTGTATTTTCAAAATATTTGCATTGGATGGACCCCTTAATGAATGATGTGCATTCTGGGATTGGAGTTGTATCATTCCGTAAAGTAGAGGCACTTCCTATACAGCAGGAACAGTGGTACCTTGCAAAGAAATTCTAGGTGTGACTGGGCTTGAAATAAAGACATAAAGGAACACTTCCAGCCTCAGTCTGCTACTGTTTCATTCTGCAACGAGATAGAGACAGAAAGTATATCCATAAGGGTCTAACATTAATAATAACAAGCACCTGTAGAACGCCATCTATCTAGCAAACCATTCCGAGGCGCTGTATCATCATTATCCCTGCACATTGGGCTCACACATCATCTGAACATTCCTGAAACCATCTCAGCTCCCTGGGGCGTATACTAACCCGGTGCTGCCATTTTGGTGCAAACGGCTAAACTACCATATCTGCCCTCACAGGTACCCATTTACTCCTGGGTGGAGAGAGGCACAAAGTTAAGACGCCGTCTGCCATCTTGAAAGTACATGGAGGTCAATCTTATCTAAAGGAAATGGCATAAAATGTTGGCTAAGCGTTTGCAAATACAGCAATACATGCAAGCAGGAATGAAGCCGATAAATCCACTAAGTTATGGCCATCCACATCAATAAAAGATAGCAAATAGATGAACCCTAACAGTCCCAGATTCTCCAATTTCAATACGCCCGAGGGGTAAGGGTTAAAGATGGCTTCCAGGAAACAATATCAAGAGACTAGGACAACTTGATGAACAAAATGCTGATAAACCGCACACAATTGGTGAATAATCAAACTATGTCCATGCAAATAAAGAGCATTATAAATAAAAAACAAATTGTTACATGTACCAGATGAAGATGATGAATGCGTCCATTAGAGTCTTGGTCTGACGACAGCTTAAAAATACAGCACAAAACGAAGGCTCGCAAGCTGCGCCATACATGATTGAAATGTTAAAGGACACGGAAGAGGAACTTCTCTAATATGTAGATAAAACATTCATATTAATGATATATAGCATGGCACTAAACATGACATGGGGGAGGGGAAGATTTTTATGCTCATCACATAAGAATAAATAAGTACCCCACATTACAAAGGAAGGAAGAAGCAGTGCATTAAGTATGGCTATGGAGAGAATGGTGGAGTGCGTGTGCATTCATGTACCCCATAAATCCCACGGTACATGTGCTGTACATGTGCATGTACATGCATATTCATGTAATACATGTACATGTAGTACACACATGTTCATTCATGGAATAGGATTGCTCATGGGAATATTTGTCCTCCAATTCATTTATTCAAGGTATCTGTTTCAAATCTTTTCGTACAGGTAACTGCTCATGCCAGCACATTTCCATTCACTGCTGGACTCACTGATTGAATACAGAGAGCTCCTTTTTTGTAGGTTTCCATGGCAACCTGTGCGCCATTGGCAAGATGGGGGAAAATGTGGAAGCCAATCTGTTGCTGGCATAGTACATGTACTTGTTGGCAGAGTGTTTGTTCTACAAAGGCCTGAGGATAACAGGCCTCATGAATGAACAGCACTGATGATGAAAGAAAAATAAAAAAGGGGCGTGCTTGTTTGTGTGACTGGACAGCTTCGATTGGCTATTTGTTACCTATGTTAGCATTCAGGAGAAGTAAAGTGAGTTGAGAGTCTTGCAAGAATGACATTAGTAAGAGTTATCATTATATGTGTTTGTATTTAGAATTTAACCAGCCGTCTTTATTTGCCTTGGGATAAAGGGAAGAATTTAGGCTGTGGCTTATGCGGGCCATTCTATAAATGTTTGGTCCAATGTGTGACATTAAAAAAAGACATTAATTTTTTTTTCTTCTTTGATTGTCAGGGTAGTCTGTTTTTAAGAATTTTATGATTTGGATTGGGAAACTCTTTTTAATCAGTGGATATTAGAGAGGGAGAAAAGCATCTGTGGATTTTGTAGCTAGAGCTAATTTGTCTCTTCTCCACTGGAAGGAGTCTGAAATTTCTAATGCAAGTGTAAAAAAAGTAAGAGCCACACAAAAGATTCTGGTTGTGTGCAAAGGTTTCTTCAATTAAGGCCATGTTCAACCAGCACTGACAGGGTCATGCACTAGACCTTGTCATCGTCTTCTGGCATTACCACTGTTCCTATATAGTTACTCTAATGCATGTATTATGATTGTGTCATGTGACTACATGCATGTGATGGAGTGTGAAGAACTGGGTAAAATTTCATTGTCATACTTAAACAGTTAGCAAGAAAGTCATGCTTACTATAGGATAAAATTTGCCAACTGTAAGCACAATGGTTGCAAGCGTACAGAGATTTCTAATGTTTTGTCAATTTGTCCCTCTGAGGGGAGTCAGGTTGGCGTAATGGTTCTTTCCCAATTCCTCACCTTCCACCTCTGCGGTCGGGGTTTGATTCACCGGCTCGGTCCACATGTGGATTGGGTTTTCAGTCCCTACGTGATTCCGTGGGTTTAACCCAGAACAGTCCTCTGGGGTTTTCCTCCCTCCTCTAAAACTGTGACGGCTTCTCACTGTCTCCTCTCTACAGGTTTCTTCAGGCTTAAGAGCCACAGTGCCAAGGGTGCTTTTGAGGAATCCTTGTGGTCATTACCAGAAATAAATAAATAAATAATAATAATAGTAATAAATCATAATAGTAAGTGTGCCCTTTGCTGTGCTGACTGCTGACAATCTCTAAAATACTGGGAGCCTCTGTTTTATCTTGGGCCCTTGTCTGTTGCTTGTTGCCGAGCAAGGCTGTGCTCTCGACAGAAGTTCGATCACATCTGTTTTCTGGTCTCTTTTGTCTTGCAGTGCGGGTCCCAAAGGTGACAACATCTATGAGTGGGTGTCGACGATCTACGGGCCAAAGGATTCAGTCTACGAGGGGGGAGTCTTCTTCCTTGACATCAACTTCTCTCCTGACTACCCATTCAAACCACCCAAGGTAAGGTCTCCCAGTCCTCGTGAACTGTCCTCTTGCTGCACTGTTACTTGACGTGTGATGCTGTTTGCTTGGATGAGGCTGAAAGTGCTTCATAAAGCCTCCTTTCTTTATGGTTGTAATGATTGCCGACAGCACTTAGGATTTCAAGACACAATCACAGAAGTGACTGTGTGTGACATCATTCTACAAAAAAAAAGAAGGAAAAACACAGTTGCATCTGAAACTCTATACATAATACTAGTTTTGCTGTAAATGTCATTTTTTGGTGGTTTTACCATTTCTTGAAGATAAACTGGTATGACTTTTACAGTGTATGTACGTCATTTAGGGTAAGCTGTTTTGTTGATAAGTGGAGTTTCATCTCTTAATCATTCAGAGCAAGCGGGCCAAATGCACGGTTCATGGGCAAGAGGGACATCTTTGTCGTTCATGACAACATGCATTTATTTATGGGCCTACTCTGGGGACTTGTTGTAGTCCGTTGGCAAAATTGGTCCAACCTTGACAACTGTCTGTGTCCACGTGGGTGTCAGTTGCGATCAAGCCTCTCTGTATGATTGTTTATCATGGGGGGGGGACTTTTCGGCAGTGCTGTCTGCACCTCTTTACATTGCCATGGAAACCAGGCTTAAGCCGCGCTTTAATGATGTGGCATTGTAGAGATTCTTCTTGACACGATCGTCAAGGGACATCTGAGAAGTCAGAATATTCTTTTTCTTGCTGGAACACTCCAGTTGGGAACACTGCGAGGTGTCTTTGGAATTCACTATATACCTGATTAGGAACAGGCCATTCCCAAGTAATGTGTGCAGGGTCATTGACCTCTTCCTCTGTTCTCATTGGGGGACACACACAGTTCCCAGAAGGAACAGCAGGTGTTCCTGTGTGGAATATGTCATATTCTCATTGAAATGTTCTCCAGTGTTCTTCTTTTTAGACACTCCCTAAATGCATAATGATCCTTCCATACATCATCCTTTGCTTGTCATCCAGTCATTTTTCAGTACTCTTACGAGCTTGCAGACTAAGCTCCAAGAAATCCCAGGATCCAAGCTCCAAGAAATCCCAGGATCCCTCAGTCCTTCAAGTGGTGGTCCTGTAGAGTTGTTGGACAGCGTTGGGATAAACCGTGTTTGAAACTTGAAAAAATTCTGCATATACATGTATGCATACATGTACATGTACTTGTACTTTTGAAAAACACAGTGTGCCTTCCAATGAGTGCATGAAAACATGTGTATTGTCCAGTTAAACCTCAATTGTGGCATGCCTCTGTCTTGAATACTGGTTTTTCATCGGCCCAGAAGGATCACATGACAGGGGGACAAAGCCGCATGTCACACTCGCTGTTAAACAGCACATTAGCCAGCGTTGTGTAATATCAGGTGCATGCATGTGCGTGCCCCTGCAGTGCACAGGATCATGCAAGCACAACTAATCCCTGCTGTTAAAAGATTTCTTTGTTGCCCTTAATTTCCCTCAGAAAACAAGTGAAAAATAAGACAAAACGATTCTTGACTGCTGTGATGTGGGATATGACGTTTTGGACACTCCCGGGGATGCGTAGGGCTCTCAACTTCGCCTCAGCTGCTATACGTCCCTCATGTTTTCAAAACATCTCTCACACCACAATAGTCCATGATTGATAAATGTTAACCAGCATGTGACAATATGTGTAACTTTGATACCTCAACATGGTTTTAAAGAGGACACTCTTGACTTGATGAGGTTTAGATTTCATCTAATTTGCTTGTGGTGATCTGGAGATACGCTTCAGTAAACACCTGCACTCAGAACTGACTTGGTACCTCTTTCAGCAACAAAGAGGGTAATTATTCCTCTGTTTTGGTGCTTAGCACTGTCAGCATCTCCATTTGAAATCATTTGTCAGGGTGAAATTAGTCTTGGGGAAGGTGTTGGGTTTCCCTTTTTTGACACAGTCAACCTGTTGATTATTAAAAAATCCCAAAACAGTGCCTGTATAGCATTATAATAACCTGCTGACCTGTGCCTTGTCCATGTGTTATGTTGTGTGCCTATATATTCACAGTGTGGCTACAAAAAGACCAGTCTGTAATGGGCCATTGTTATGACCAAATAATTTTTCCCAAGTCATGTCACAAGTCAACTTTCTCCAAGTCAAGTCGTTTTCCTAAGTCAATTGTTGATAATTATATGGGGGAATAGTTTGTACCAGCCATTTAAAGAAGTTTCTTCCATTATGCTGTCAGATCATGTACACATGTGGAGTATCAAAAATAATCGCTGTGCTGAACCATGAATGATACAATGTCTAAGAATACGCACGCCTCCAGATCACAGCTTGTGGGCCTGGCTGCACAATGCATGGACAACCAGGCAGCTTGCTTTCATGTTTGCAAGCCTACCGGTACATGAACAGAGTCGGTGTTGAACGGGCAAAAGTTTGTGTATTTTTAACAAATGTTTGTCACAAAGTCAAATTTAGTCAACTTGCAAGTCACGTTCTTTCAAGTCAAGTCCCAAGTCAATTTTTTGCGAATCAAATCAAGTAAAAATAAAATTGCGACTCAAGTCCGACGTCATCAACTTGAGTCAACAATACTGCTGTAACCCAATGGCTGGGTGTATGACGTACATGTACTGTACGTGTTTTTCTAGGCCGTTTGATGTGTGTATGACGGTACTATTGTCGGTACTGTGCTCGTGGCTTGTTCGGTGGTTTGTCATAGCAGTGTTGTAATGCATCACTAAATTTGGTGACTCGAGTCGATTGAGTCATTTTAACATTGTGACTCGAGTCGAGTCGTCATTAGGTCAAGAGGTCGAGCAGAGTGGAAATGAGTCACTTTGTGTAGTCGAGTCAGGTACCGAGCTTGAATCAATTTGAGTCACAAATTTTTAAACAAAATACAATAAAAACACAACTACTTGTAAGTCATTTGTTGGTATTTTTATTTTAATGTAGACACACTGAAAATAAATTAGAGTGACAGGTATCTAGCCAACTAAAATTTTGCTTTAAATGTTTTTGAGACTTGAGCCTTGTAAGCTTGTTCAAGTCTCTGTGAGAGATTTGAGTCAAGTTGTTTGGTTGCAGGGACCTGAGTTGAGTCGCCAAAAATTGTGCCTTGAGTCGGACTCGAGTCGAGTCATTACAACTCTGTGCCATAGTACCTTATGGGGATTGGTATGCTGTGACATTACATGCTGGTTCATTTGCCGAGGTTTATGTGGCTCTGTATATGGCCCAATGCTTTCCCTTGGACAAAAAGCTGCAGAGAGGCCGCCTTGGACAATACCCACTTCGTTATTTCATTTAGCTCTGGTGATTAGACTAGAAAGTGGCACAAACTCAATTTTCAGTGCATTTGTTTACTGGAGCATCACTGAAAGCTAATAATATGAAACAGAATGACCCTGATGCTATCAATTTGAACATTGCTCAGGTGAAGTTCCGTACGCGCATCTACCACTGCAATATCAGCAGTCAGGGAACCATCTGTCTGGACATCCTCAAGGACAACTGGAGCCCAGCCCTGACCATCTCCAAGGTCCTCCTCTCCATCTGTGCTCTATTATCCGATTGCAATCCTGGTGAGTTGGGCAAGGGGTAGGCTGCTTGATTGGTCATTGACTGGTGTGAATTTTTCTCTTTTTCGCAAACTGAAACACAAGTGCTGTGATTGGACACTTCATGACAACTACACAATGAACAATTTTGGTGTCCTGAACTGACACTGGGTTGTGTGTGCACACTGTAGAATAGTTCTTGGTTTTACAATTGAAATTTATAGCCACAAATGTGGTAGCCTGTTTAAGTTCAAGGTGTCGATGAGAGAGGTACATGTATTCATCTTTGGCTGACCTTTCTCAGAAAAATAATGGGCTTGTTGCTAGGATGGTATGTTTGATTTTCACCAAATTAGCACCAAATGACTGCCACACATTACTGGAAAAACTTTTGAAGGCTCATGTGGTAAACTATGGACTATGTTGATATTGGAGAAAATATTGAAGGGATTGGAGTAACAGATTCCAACCCCTCCCCCGGATCTTTTGGTTTAAAGGGTTGATTAGAAACTAGAACGGGATAGTTTACACATTGACTCCCACAGAACATGCAGCGTGTTGAAAATCATGAAACAGTTTGACAATGAGTTCTAAAAATAATTTCCCATCCTTTCCTTTTCCTCCTTCCCTCCTGCGTCTTCCATAACAGCTGACCCACTGGTGGGCACCATAGCAACTCAGTACCTCCAAAGTCGCGAGGATCACGACCGTTATGCCAAGAATTGGACCAAACGCTACGCGACATGATGCAAGGCACCACCTTTTGGGTGGCCACATTTGTCTGTAATCACTATTTGTTGGTCTTTTTTATTTTTGTTTGTCGCCCCACCTTGTCGTTATTATTTATGTTTATTTTTGTACAGCACGATTGACAATTTCTCCCCAGCATACAGAGATGATCGGTGTCGCAGACCAGGTATAAGACCTTGGTGTCAGGGGTCAGACACTAGATATGTTGTCTACAACCGGTGTGGCACTGTGGGTTAGAACAGCAGGTGTTCTTTGGTGAGGAACATGGTTGGTTAACGTTAACACAATGTAATAACACACTTGGACAATTTACGACTTCTTTCATATTACACGGGAATGTGCACAAACTCCATAACTTGTTTTATCTGTTGTGTTGGAACATGTACGTAGATGTACATGTGCATGTACATGTTCATGTTCATGTGTGTGTCGTCTTATTAGGTTGGCACAAAATTGCTAGCCCCAGCCTAGCTGACACTGTTCATGGATGACCAGATAAAATATCAGTCAAATTTCATCCTTGAATGATTTGCAGAATTACTTGATTCTCTGAGAAATCAGAGATGTTTAAAATGTTTCTTTTCCCCTGAAGTGTAGACAGATACTTGGTGCCATTCAATGAGAGAAGAAAGATTTGGCTTGAAATTGAGTAAATTAGTAGTTATGTGCAGTCATGCAATGCAGCACGCTTGGGTACGGTTGGTTTTTAAATCAAGGGTTTTTGGTTGTTTTTGGTTTTTGGCCAATCTTGCTGGGTATTTAGCCACCTGTGCCTTTTTACTGTTGCAAAGGTAGGTTTTGTATGTAGGTCGGTGCAAGTTCAGCTTCTATCTTCTCTTTCCAAATCTGCCGAGATCATCTTGATATTTTTACTGGTGTCACTGAAGATTTCAACATGTAGTGACTGCATATCAGGCTAGTTTTATGAATAACCCAGGATGTTTGCATACTGGCCACTTCACAAGTTACACATGCCAATATCCACCATATGTCAGTCTTAGTGGGGACAGTTTCAAATCAAAGATTTACAGTGTGACAGAATATGACTTCGGGCATTGCTTGTTGCCAGTAATACAGTGTACCTCATGAATATCCATTAGATTAGGATTGTGTTTATTGTATGGATTTGCTGTCAACATGTGGATGTGAATATTCATTGGAGATTTGAGGCCTTGCATTGGTTAGTTACGCTCAGGCATGATGGATATTGTGGGAGTAAAATATCCCATAACTATCACTGAAGTATTACATTGTTCACAGATACGCACATACACCCTGGGTTCATCGGTGTACCCATGTTTCCAAATAGTTGCCTCTTTTATCCATGTGCTTTGTGAAGAATTCTTTGATGAAGTGGGATACGGAAATTCGACAAGAATATGCTGAAAACTGTTTTATGACAGTGGAAATTGCTGGAGTGAACATATCCTCTGAGATGAAAAATGATCTCTTTTCTGGTTAGTAATATCATAACAACATTCAAATATAAAGCCTAAATTGACTCCAAATGTTCGCTGATCAACATACCGCATGAAATGGACATCTGATGAATATACATGCACATCTTTTTCTGTTGTTGCAAAACATCTGAAATGCCACATGCTTTATACATGCATGCCAACCTGTGACATAAGGATTCTCTATAGAGCAGAAATGTAGGTTGGTTTGTTTATAGTTCAGGCATTGTACGGTATCCACTTGGATAATGTGCGGTTCATACACATTGGCAGACAGCAAAATTGGATCTGCAGAATTTGTTGTGATTCAGATTCTGACAGCTTTGATTAGTAGAACCGAACCTTCTGCTAACCACACAAATATACTGCTAGAGCAAACAACCAGTGACATGCCTGGTTATGCAGTGTACACTGCTTACATACATGTAGTAACCGGTTCCCTGGTAATTTTTACTAAGCACATTTGTTTTAGTTAGCAAGAATTTTGCAGAGTTGGTATTAAGTCAGAAGTCAGTCCACGAGTCAAGTCCTTGAAGTCTGTCATATCATGTCAGAACTAAAAAGATGAACAGTGAGAAAGGAACACCTTTGTTACAGTTGTGAGTTGACCGAATGACTTGTGACTGGACTGACTTGTGGTGTCTTTGCCTCCGACTCAATTACCAGTCTGGCAATTTGTGCTTTTGAAATTTGCCTCTGGTCTGTAGATTTGAACTGATTATCTGCTGAGTGTTGTATGGCCAAATGATTGCATGAGGATGTTGGATAAAGCTGTCGAAGGTTTGCATGAGAGGCCTTGACATACACGGCTTCATTCTGTGTTTGTTTGGACACCAACCATATTCCTCAACAAAAGGCATTATCTTTCATCATTCCAGAAGAAAAATTACTTTGCTTTACTTGTCCCCATTCATCTTTGTAGTGCTGGTGAGAATTGTACGTTTGCCCTTGTTTGTTTGTGAAAATATGATTCGTCAAACAAGTCATTTTGAAATTTTGAATTCTCCAATTTTTTGTGTTTTTGTTTCATTACAAACTGTGGTGTTAAAAGCTAGATGTGTATTTACCTTATGTACATAAACCACATAGAATCAATAATATGTAGTGTACTAGAAAGTAGTGATGTGATTAAGCACATGTAGATCACATATGCACAATTTCCATGGTTTCCGTAACAAGACAGGACTTAGAAATGTATAATTGTTTGGTTTTGATTTTTTTTTGGGTTAAAAAGTCACTTTAGACAGAGAAGTGTCATTTTTTGATGGGAGAGAGTACAATTTCACTTGTAGTGTCATTAGTGGAGAGATTTGTATCATGTTAGAGACTAGGCAAACATCAAGCAGTGTCCCCGACGGCAGTTTCTTCTTTTTATGGATGAGGATTGAATCCCTCGCACTGTGCTGTTTGTGATTGCGATCACTGCAGCGGCTACAAGCAGCACGTCTTGCACTGCACTGGCGGAAACAGGTGAAATGTTGACGCAAGGCATAGCATTTCACATAACATAGGCGGTGTCAGTTTCAGCACGTAGACGGATACACGTCTCAGAGTTACATACGTTGGGTGAAATCCCCTACCTGTCTGCACTTGACATTGTTGGCACCTCCACATAATGTTAGTGTGCGGGTCAGTTCCCCCCGGTTTTAAGCTAAGGTTTGGATGTGGCATGTCAGTGTCATTTTGTGAGATCTTTATTTCTTCAGCAGGTTCTTTCAGTTTTAATGTTTGGGACTTCTCCCCAATGACAACAAATTGATCTTTTTTTTTTTAATGTATAAGACTGCATGTGCACTTGTGGCTGGCGACACTGAATCAGGTTGAAAATGTCAAAATGACAGTTTTTATGAGTTGTGTAATAGTATCTAATATTGTATACATGTATTGATTTTGGTCACCTACAGCCTCGTTGAGGCTTCACAGAAAGTATACAGCACCTGTTTAGTTTCGTTTGGTCAGGATTTTTAACACCTTGAGCCTCCTTCTAAGACTGAAAATAATAGTCAAGGTTGCTGTATGTGATGCCAGCATTGGTCAAGTGGACAGTCTGACAAGTTGGGAGTAGTTCATGGCTCAGATGCCCGGAAGATTAAGTCCCATCTGCTTAAGATGAAGACAGCTCACAGAAGTTCTTCTCAATGCACATTTCATATAAGTTTGTTCCTAGAGTCAGAGTCTACAGGGTGCACAACACTTCTCTTTGCCTTCCAACTTCCAGCCGTCATTGGCCCAAATGATAATATTTACTCAGGGTCCCCAGTGCTAGAGGAAGATCGTCAACCTTTTCATCGCCACACAAGACGGCAAAAATCCAATCTCAAGATTTGTAGCCCCCTGAAGCTGCATGGGCACTGCAAATCTTTTTTTATATCCTCTGCAGAAAAATGCATTGGAGATTTGATATTATTCCTGGATTATGATTCTCATAACACAAGGCCTCTCTGTCCTGCAGGCAATATCGTATCAACCCGCCCTCCACTGTAGCGGACAGAGTAATGGTCACAATGAATATACAAGCACCCAGGGTTTTTCTACACGCATACAAATTCACTCCGTTTGATATGCGGATTTGTATGGAAAGCGGGACAAACTAATGCAAGGCAGGCTGAGCAGATGAATTTAATCAGAGGAGGATTGAGTCAAATGTTTGAGGGGTTGGATTAAAGAGAGGATTCATGCATGGAGTTGGACTAAGAAGGTGACCGCATGCGCCAACCTAGTGACAACATGATGCTCTTTGAGAAAATGGTATTTACGTGGAATGATTCCAACCCTTTGAATGCATTTAATTGCCTGATGCTGTTGGTGTTTGTCACACTTGATGAAAAAATGTAATTACACACACGTGTTCTTACTTCAGACTGTTGCAATTTCCACATTAAGTTCCATATAAGTGGGTTCGGTGTTTGGGAACACCCAAGTTAGTGGCATTCGTGCAGTACACATGGACACCTGAATCCCCACTACTGTCCTGTTGCCATGATGAGGTGTTCTCATCTCAATGCATTCACTCTGAAGCTTTGTACACATTGAGATGAAAGTTGGTCGGGCATACTCCATGCCAATTAACAAATGTGAACCAGTGTGTACATGGGATGTGCTTTTTCTTTAGCGTCCCTAGGTCAGTCAGTGTTGTCGAAGCTGTGTGAATTCCATACAGTGGGAAGGAATTTTTTTCTCAAAAAAACTAAATAAATACCTGGGAGAGACACATCTGAAGTTTATAACAAATAGAATGGAATAAATTCAGTTGATTGAATAAACATGTATGACTGCTCTGTTGTGCAGTATACGGGGGACATGAAGTTTTAATGAGCTAAGGCAATATATTTGTGTTTGTGCCAGTATATCCGTGCACATGTAGGTTGACTGGCCAGGCTGTTGCCAAACAGTCTCTGATGCTTTGAGGGAGCATGCACTATGAGAAGGCTACGAATACATCCAAACTTTGTAACTACCCTACATTTAGATCACCTCAGCTCAAGTCGTACCATATCGCAGCAAGTTACAGGCTGTTTAAGGGAACTGTTGCTTGAACTCTCATGATCTGACCCTTGACTTTACTTTTTGTAATTGACAAGGCTGACTGCTCAGCCATGGGATTGACCTGGGGGGGGATGCTAGCATAATTAGGTTTACCTCGTCAGAATGAAAAAAAACATTCAGATCTGACTAGTAAATGAATGGAAGTTCACTGGCACCGTTGGGGGGGAGGGAAGACAGGGTTTGGATTATCTGAAAGTGCATGTGATTGAAGCAGCCAGAGATGGCGATTGCTGTGGAATCTAGATGGAGGCTACTCAGCCCCAGAATCCAATCACATCTGGAATTTCCCCCTTAATCTTTGTGGGGAATACGTTGTACATCAGACTGTTTACTGTGGGTCTGGTTATGTCACTTGGATGGATGGGTTTGGATTGCATGTTGAGCCAGTTGATATCCTATTGTGATACTGGGCATTAGACGTGAATGGGGAGCATCCTGTTAAAGGCACATCAACTAGTCCCCACCCCGCTTCCCTTTTGTTCATTTTGCATCCATTCGTACACACAGGGGAATTATGGCTCGAGTCATACTGGAACCATTTTTCCACAGTCCCATGCAATTTTTCCACAAGTCAAATCCCATCAAATCATTTTTCCTGAAGTCAAGCTCCATGTCTTTAGGGTACTTGACACCGTTTCTGACATCTTTATTGACGATGTGACCTGTGGTGTTTTGCATACCAGGTCTGATCCTGAAGTTGTTTTCGAGCATAATATGCTGACATTTTAAATACCCACAAGTCTGATGAAAACAGACAAGTTTGCTTACTTTTAGGTTGCAAGTCTTTGTTTCCCATTACTGATAATACAAGGTAACTATTGTAACAAGATACATTCTTAAGTCTTTAGGACCTTGCCATCACGGTGTTCCACTGTATACCTTTTCTTAAATTAACAATGCATTTTGACAAATGTTGGTTATGTCAGCAAACTGTCACAAATTACTTTCTCCAAGTCAAGTCACAAGTCATGCACACATCATGTTCCAAATTATCTTCTGTCCTTTGTATAAAAACTTCACACCTGTAAAGGGGTGGTTTTGGGGGGCTCTTGTCACTATTTTCTCGTTACCAAACCATTTCAAGAAATGGGCTTGCACACTATTTGTTGATCAGCTGTGCCGTGTGAATCATACACTGACGAAACATATACTTTCAAAGTCACTGTCCGAATGTAGAGAAGTAAAGATGTGCATTGAGTTGTCACATGTTGTATGCTACATGCGTACTGTCCCCCCTTTGACAAACAGTAATGCAACACCGGAGATGCATTAGATCATTTGAATCAGTTTCCCTGTGGTTGTGTATATCAAATTCTAAAGTAGTGTAGGCTTTTTAAATATATGTACAAAAATACCTAGAGACTATTTATAAAAACATTGGGGAAAAAAGGAAAAAAAAAAACAACAAAAATTGACAATAGTCTCGGACGTTTACCACGCAGTATTACTTCAATACAGTTACTCAGTAGTAAGTGCAGATGTAGTGAAAAAGGTTTGTAGTCCGAGAAGTGTAATAATAAAACTATTGAAATTGACATTCTGTCGTGGCGAGTCCTTTCAGTGGTTGCACTCGGATTACATGGCCCCCTTCTTAAAACTCTGTTCAGAAGGCTATCAACATTTCCTAGATCTGTGTAAGTATTGTGCATGTTCCTGATGTCATGAATGCCCTTCGCAAGAGAACTTTGGACTTTCACAGGATTGTTTATCTTGTGTTTGTAGGGGGAGGAAAGTAAGACACTTGGTAAAAAAGCTGTAACAGATTTATTTTGTTACAACACCTTAAGTATCAATTTACTTTTATTTAAAGTAAAACAGACAAAGTTGTGATAAATGAAGAATGTTCAAGGTTTTCACACGTTAATCTGAAAAATAAAATTGCTGACAGATGCATACATAGCTTTCATAACTTGAAGTATGCTACAGAATGGTTTTCAAATCAAGAAATGTCCTCCATTTCAATTTTAACTAGTCTGTTATGGGAAAGTGTCAGATTTCAACAAATCCCATCACACATGTTCACTAACACACATGATGTTTCAGAATACATGTATCAGAGGGTGACAGAATTTATTGGTGAAAATGGGAATGTGTATATCAAATTCTAAACTCTGCTTCAGGGGCAACTGAAAGTGGCCTAGATCTTTTTTTCCACTTTTCAAAAATAACGGTTGAGGTAGGACAGGCATTCCGCTGTCCCTTTCGGATCATTTGATAAATGAATCAAACAGTTCAATACTGTGCACATTTACAAATCCATTGTCTTTAATCAGCAAATCAGTAAGACATTCTATCACAGCTAGAAAGGTAGATTATACAAAATGCACAGGAATCCTTCAAAATACACACCCAATTTAAATATCTGTGCACTTGGACAAGACAGAAAGGAAAGTAATAACTACCATCCTTTTTTGTAAATAATGTGCGCATCAGAGCTTGTGAAGATGTTTTATGTTCATTTAAAACTAGCCTTTAATCGAGGCATGCTGCGGCAAAATGGGTAGTCGCTCAAGAGCGAGGAGCTGGAGGAGACTAGTTTAAGCATCAAACCAACGCACGAAGAAAGACTACATGATGAACTGCACGTACGCCCGAAATTAACCATGCATGCGCATGCAGTAGCCGAGCTGAGTGTGTTGTGGACTGTGCATGCTGCCGCAATGTGTGTGCGGTTCGTCTTGTAATCTTTCTTTGTGCATTGATTTGGTGCTTATACTAGTCTCCTTCAGCTCCTTGCTCTTGAGCGACTTTCCATTTTGCCATGGGCGCCTTGATCAAAGGCTAATTTAAAACAATGTGGTGAATTTTTTACTAGTCAGGAACCCTTTGTTCAATGCTGAAGTTTGTAGGTTAGTGATTAAGGATTTCCATGTGTTTTGCATATATTTTCCATTTCATTCATTGAGAATTTAATTTATGATTCTTAGACGGACCAGTTAAGTTCAGGGGATCACACATCTCTCAAAAGAAGAAAACAGTCTGACTGCAAAACATTTCAATGCATATTAAAATGCAGGCAATTACGATCATTTGTAAAAATACTGACTGAGGTCAATTCAGGGAACTGTAAGAAGGGAAAACAAGTCGCATGTGACTTTTGGGTTCAGAGAAAAGAAAAATAATCAGATTAAATAAACTAAGGGGACGCATTAAAAAACAGAAATACAAGATTATACAGCCTTGATAACCTCATCACATACAATATACATGTAGAGTAAGCTGCCAGAAATGGGTTAAAAAATGACAAGTGGTCTACCAATTAATTTCGATCGACTGTGAAGAGTTACTAAATAGTGTCTACTACATGTACTGTATTCTACCGCTACTCCTTGTGAGACTCACTAAATGTCTCTGATTGGTTTATCAGGATACAAGCATTGCTGATAGGTTGGTGTTGCTGGACAAAGCAATGTTCAAACTCGTCTCCTCTCGTCTGTACCACAAATAATTTGTCAGTTCTGTTCCAACGAACAAATGGCCAAAGAAACACAGGAGCATACAACCTCCCCAGCACAAAAAAATAAGCAAACGGGAACCCAATTAAGAGCAAATATACTCGTATGCATGTATAACATCATTGAAATTCTACAAGAGTGACAAAATCAGTGTGCAGGTGTTCCAATTAATGGATGTCTATGATAGTGTACATTCACAACTTGAATACAGAGGGCGCTGTCTTCAATTGCTCCAATTGGTAGCTCTGTGACCCCCTCGACCACTTTACAACAATGATGTAAATCACGTAAGTGGATTAACGTATCGGTACCCTGGTTATTGTAGAGTAATGCAGCTTTCATCTTTCTTCGTTGATTATTATTCATGTCAAGTGGAAAAAAGTCATGACGAATGAAGATTTTTTTGTAAGTAAAAGCTAGTCTGAGGTCATAAATTTTTCAATGACATATCCGTATAAATAGTGAAATCTTTCAGTGATAAACCAATTCCCCCATTCTGCGACCGTTATTTTATCTGTTGAATTTTTTGTTCACTGCACGAATGTTTCACAACCATCATTCGTTACCTACGCTTCAACAAATTGTGGCAAGAAATTTCCTGCAAAATCTAAATAAATCCCTGCCTGATGAATGCCTGCATGCTATGTGTCTTCAGAAAGCTCGTGTCCATGGAATGGAGCATGCTATTTAAGGTGGAAAAAACTTTTTCCACTTTAGCTGTGCTGTGCGTCAGGACAAATAATACGACATGTTTGATGATCCAGATTTATCAATTAAATGTACTGGAGAGGGCAGGGGAAAAAATACAGATCGAATTATTTACAGTTGCTGCTGTTGTATAAAACAAAATCTTGTCAACCAACCTGACAAAATGAGTCAAAAGTTCCAAATTCATCTTGGAGTTCAAGGCCTTCAAGAGAATCTAACACAATGAAAATCATCAGGAACTGTCCACTGTTTCACCCACATAATGTCCACTGCTTCAGAGAGCTACTGAGTATTACAACAAAGCAAATGAGTTATGGTAGTATTCTCCAATCCAATTAAACCCGACTGAAAATAAAAGCCCTTAGGACTCATTTTGTGGGACTGGGCCGTACATGTCTTGATACAAGAGAACACCTGTTCTTTGGAGGGGAGATAAGATACTGGTATGTTAATTACAGAACTACAAAATGTGCTGCTGTGTATTGGACAGGTAGTTACGAGGTAGAATTTTTACCAGAGACAATTTACTACAACACCATTCAAACACGGTATCCTTTAACACCTACTCATCTAAGGAATTATGCAACCCATGTATCTGACACCGTATCAAAGCTATGTGTGTGTAACCTTGACGTTTGTATATTCTTGCATTTAATCCAACAATTTGGATTTCATTTGCAAGTTGGATCACTGTCTAAATGAGACTATCTGGATGTCACGTATCAATCAGTTTGGATGTTCCAAAAATATTAATATACACATATATATATAAATAGTCAATGCAATCTACATACTTTGTTTTGCTTGAGTATGCAACTTTCCTTACAGGCTTCCACGTCAGAGAACTGGGACTTAATTCAACATTGCTCAGATTTCTAGACAATTCTTATAAAGGCAATTCTAACTTGTTTCTGGTAAACATTAATTTCAAAACACCGTGCTTTACAGCCTTGCATTGCGGGTTTTCACAGGCTCACAAAGTGGGTGCCCAAACATTGGCTTATGACTGCCAAATTCACATTTTGATAATTATGACACCAATGATATTGGGTAGATCATCCTGGTATTCTCATGCCCACAAAAATCCAACACCTGAATTAGTTTTATTTCCGTGGATCACGGATGCAAGCCTACTTTAATTGTTTTCGCCCATACTTTTCTTGGAGATGTTGCTTTAAATCAAGTAATAGAGGGCCTGCACGGAGCACCCTCCAAGAGGACATGTTTTGTTATTTAGATTTAATGACAGTGAACACACAACAGGTTTACTTGAGCCTATCCTAGAGGAAGAAAGAAATGCCCTCTAACGTGAAGTCATAAGCAGGGGGTCTATAGTTCCTTTTTGTCCCACTGCCTTTAAAACACCTGAAATAGATACTGGAAGATTTGGGATCCTTAAAATTTCAGTATGACAATCAAAAAGGTGCTGTCTTGACATGTTGTCAGGTTTGCAAACATGGCCCACTGCCAACTGCCTGAGGGCAGTATTTTACCATTCCTACAAAAAGTGAAGCACTGTATTGCATGTGCAACTTACGAATGAAGTCAATGTTGTAGATGAGAACTTTACTGCCAAATATTGCACTGGTTTACAGGGATGTACAAAGCTACAGAACATGGAGACTAGGCAGTGAATGCACTAAACTCAAGTTTTTCGGCCAGAAGTGTTGAAACAGTACTGTACAGTACTTTTCTCCATACAACCTAAATTTCACTCGACCGTGTTAGTCATCAGTCTTAAATTGATCTTGTAATCTTATCACTGTACATATGCCATTCAGTGTTCATGTTTTCTACAATCCTGGACCAAATTGTTGGGACACGTGTCAATAGCCATACCCTTTGAAGGACCCCACTCTCCTGGTCAATGCTGTCTCAAGCTGGAGTACAGATTGTGCACTGAGATGCAACATTGAGAGGGGGCTGGGGATGGGGGCGGCAAACGAGATTTGGCCAGGATTGTAGCTTTGTTCACATCGAACAGTTTGATATTTGGCAGTAAGATTGGTACTCTGAAAGCTCTTGACTGCAACACTGGATTATGTACGTGCTGATGTGTGGACCCCATTCTGCAGTGCTTTCTCATATGCTTCCCTTTTGAGTTACATGAAAGTAACTTGAGATGTCCTTCAACCATCTTATCCAGGTGCCTCTGTGGAATTATACTTTCAGTATCTGGCAAATTACTGTCACATGTTGCATTCACTTGTTAATCTATGCACAGGTTCTACTGCAGACTGTCAGTCAAGACAGCCATGAACCCGATTCTGGGTACCAGACTTCCCCCCCCCCCGTCACACACATGCATGTGCATAATCACTGTTGCTGTAGGGAAACAACCCAATGTACAGTAGACAACACAGGGTGCATTCTTGATGTTGAAAAATCGACTCGTGTGCTGTTTGGGAAACTTGTTCCGAGTTGAAAATTGTAGGCATGTGGAAAAACTATGCATGAACTTCTTAATGCTCTAGGCGAGTAGTTCTGCACCAACCATGAAATACAATGATACTAGAAGAATATGCTGACGTGTACAGCAGTGCATTTTCATGACCCATTTATAACGCCATCGCAATCATAAGGAACATGTTAAAAGTTTCCAACTAAAATGCAGAGCCAAAACAGTTACATCAGCAGAGAAATACAAAGCACACAGTAGCAGACACCATTATTGACAAACGTCATTTTTTTTCTTCCTATGTTCTAGAGGATAGTAGGCCATACTCATTTTGGTTCACTGCATGTGACACCGCATTGGGGGACACATGATTTGTTTATTTTGGCGAGGACAAAATAGTTGGCAGCTTATTTTCTGCCACTTGAACTGGGGAGAAACAACTCCAACCTGTGGTTCTCTTCTGGTCAGAACAATGACGCCGCAAAAAATGCAATTTTGTGACAAATACGTACGCTGCAAATTCACAAAAGTTGAACGCGCTTTAACTCAAGTGAATACTGTGGTCACGGCTAATGTTTTATGAAATCACACTTGCTTCAATTTTGCTTTGGCCTGCAATATGAAGCGGGCCTAAAATTACCAAAATGCCCAACCAGTGATTGAACCTGTACAGAGGAACTAAGGCGACCAATTACTTGTACGTGGGCAGCTTTTAGGCATGCAATGGCGGGCTCGATCACACACCTAAAATCAGAAGAACTGTCGGTTTAGGCAAAAACGGGTCAAAATGTACAATCTGGAGTCTAGACTAGAAATTAAGGTGTGAGATGAGGCAGTAAGAGTTTATACCTTAGCCAAACTGGAAACCTCCTGGGAAACCGCCGCCATAGAAACCGCTGTCCCGATGACCGCCGCCACCCCCTCCGTGCCCAAACGAGAAGCCACCAGGGTGGCCAAAGAAACTGGTGAAGATCTGGGATGGGTCAAAACCTGAACACAAGATCAAAAAGAGCACACTTGGATTTACTTTCCAATTGGTGTGGTCCAAATAAACAGAGTCTTGATTTGGAATGTGCTTCATTACTGCACACTCTTCAAAGACTGATTTATTGGGATTCTTAAAAAATTGCAGAAATATATACACACTTTGTATAAAAGTTGTTTATTTACAATAAAACAAGTTGTGTTAAGGTTCCCCTGCAGATCTTCAGCAGTTGTCTGGTTTGATCTTAAAGTAGGCACATATATCGAAAGATAGGCAGTCTAGCTATATCTACTTCATTCCTTTCATTTCTACAGTTTGAACTCGAGCACAGAATGAGTTTGCAGGAAGGAGGACGGGAAGACTGAATTTTTATGTCCACAAATTTCTGGCAGACTGGCGAGACCTCCGGTCCACTTCATCCGTGTTTTTTTAGTATGGCAGTGTTCCGTAATTTGTCCCCCTGAGTTAAATGGGAATGTCTGTTGTTGTAAGTCTTGGGTCACACCCAGAAGGAGAATTCCGAGTCGCACTCGGTGAACAAACTGCTGAAGATGTCCGTAGGATCAAAGTCTGGGAATAAGGACACGGGGTAAGGGTTTGATAGAACTGCACAAATTGAAAAACGCTCTCTTGCATACCTATCCCCCAACGGCCACTTCTACCAAATGTTGACAGAAAAGGGTATGTTCCATGATATTTTACATCTAAATACTGGGCGTTGATCTGCTGTGTATAATGCCCTCTCATGCAGTTCAACAATGCAGCATGAAAACAGTCCCTGAAGAACTCTCTGAGTTCGATATTTGTTTCCAGAAGAACTCAGTTAATTGCAACTGGGTAGATGGGTCTTAAATAAAGGCAGCACTGAATTCAGGAAAGTTAGTTTACTTCCCCAACATTTCCAGCTTTGGCCTCTTTTTGCCAGTGGGATTTATTCCATTATGGAACTGTGCCATGGCAACATTAATTTCATCTCTTGCCTCAACGCACCTCTGATGTTACCAAGGGCAACCAGGTATAAATTTCTCAGTCGTTCTTTTCTTTCCAGACTATTTATTTTCAACAGTTTTTTTTTAGTTTTCAAACTTGGATGTGGAGGACACAGTTGTAACACTGTGTAGGAACTTCCCTTTTTTGTTTCTGGAATTTCTAATAAAACAAGGAGCTAAGCCCAACTTCTATTAACACGAACATGCTGGTCAGGCTGCTAGATTAAGTACTGGCATTATACAACAACCCAACTTACGATTTGCATCTCATCAGAACAACAGGTGCGCCTTTTCCACAGAAAAGTCTGTACAGTTCTCCCTTTGAATGTTATCTCGTTGGTTTTAATTGCAAAGTGAATATTATTCCAGAATTCAGGAACAATGGAGGAACTGGCTTCACTACTCACTGACACCATTCAGCACTGAAAGGTAACTCAGGGAATGAGCTCATGTAACTCTGTCTAAGGTTACTGGAACGTCTTGACTGATTTGTGGGGACCTTCTAGTGCCCTCACACTGTTTTTGATCCTCACACTGAATATCCCACAATACGTCTATGAGACAAGTTTGTGGGTGACATTTTGTCAAGCGCATTTGGACAAAGTTGAGGGGAATTTGGGAGAAGTGGAGGCAAAAGAATGGGACCTGAGCAAGAGCAAAGAGCCAATCACTACATGTAGGAGAACCTCCCACAAACCATCAGCAAGGAACTCACCTCCAAATCCTTCCAGATCGTCTAAGTCCTGGCCGCTATCATACCTCATCTTCTTCTTGGAATCAGACAGCACGTTGTAAGCCTCCCCAACTTCCTTGAACTTAACCTCCTCGGCTTTCTGCACCTCCTCTGTCTTGTTGGAATGACGATCTGGAAGCACAAGACACACACATACACACCATCATTTTAACCAATCTGTGAGGGAGGATATATAAATGCAATCTGACATTCTGCATGCAAGAACATGGATGGCTGGTAGGTTAAGCCTCATGCATGCCACAAGCCGCTGTATGATTACGCTAGAAAAATATGTTGGGGCATACAGGAGTGGATTTTTGCCAACACACATTTGCATAAACTGGAACTTGGCCAGTGTACGCAACCAGCTGCTATGGAAAATATCGCTCTCTGGCGGTGCCCTAAAGAGTTTCAAAATGTGAGTTTGCAGTACAAAGTATTGTACAAATAGTGTGATTGACCCCAACGAGACAGACAATTGGCTGCCTTTTCATTGCAATTGCCTCCTTGGTATGGTTTGCTTCCTGAACTGGCTAAACTCTGATGCTATGCACAAAACAATAGGCAAACACTGTGGTTATGATTCGGGGGTGTAGTTGCATAGAGCACCCATACCAGGATGGTGTAGCAAGGCATGCTTCTTGTAGGCCTTCTTAATCTCAACTTCGGTAGCATTCTTGCTGATGTTTAGAATCTTGTAGTAGTCTTTCCTCTTGCTCTTTTTGAGCTCCAGATTGGCCTCTTGAAGAAGGGCCTTGTTTTCTGAAGAAAAAAAAGTTAACCCCAAAGTACGAAGCGAGGTTACTAAGTCTTCTCCTTATTACAATTAATTGAAGCATGTGGCAATGTGATTTGTTTACTGTTCTTTATTAACTACGTGGTTGCTTCAAACCTCATAGTTAATTTGGACAATAAAGTCAAAACAGCACAATTTTTCTCACTTCCCAAGACTTTAGTACATCCACCATCTTCCGACTTTTTTTATTTCAGTCTTGTCTGACGATTCTCTTATTTTTTGTTTTTGAAATATGAATGCTTTTATTCGAGGCTAAATCCCACCCAGAATCACAACTTAACTCCTCACGTGCTCAAAGTATTTGGTAAACCTTTAAAAGGAACTAACATAAAAATTTAGCTTCAATAAACTGCACAAACATTTTGAAAACAGTAATAATTATAATTGTCACCAGATGCGGAATTCAAACCATTTCTTGATATTAATAATGTTCCCAGCATTGGGGAAGTAACCCTTGTAACAAGTAAGGCAACCAGTGGGTCAAGACCCCAATCGTGACCAAATCCCACAACTTGTGTCTTGTGGCTCCCTTTATCAGTAATTTTGTTTTGTTATCAGAAGAAAGACATATTACTCAATGTGGTATCCTGATTAAAAAAGAACAAATGTAGGTGACTAAATATTGCACTCCTAGTGATGACCACGATGCGAGATTCATAATAACACCTTGAACTACAAAGTGGCTCTGGCGATTTGTGACTTGTTTTCTTCGGGTGGGTCACATTTGTGAATTAACATCTTGGATTACTGATGTCTTGGCTAGGCCAAAATGGCCATGTATGGGCTGAGGGATAGCCCAACTTCCTATGCACACTAACTGCCACAGTTTTCAGTTGGGTCCATCACACGCTCTTGCAAGTCTGTAACAAGACACCAAGTCTTAACCGTACGCTGCCGGGTTTAATGTGAAGTTGCATGACTTGTTCCCGGGGGATTTTCAAGATTTCAGGTTTTCAAAATTGTTTAAAAATTCATAACTTTACTGGACGTTTACACCTACACAGATGACTGTCTGGTGGCTACTCTAATCTGACAGACATCTATTGACGCCCAAGTATTTCAGTCAGGCCTGCTGCCTTGTAAAAAGAGCCCAGACTGTGCGGTGTTACATAATTTTCTTTTGTTCCTGAAACTGACCCAGTGCGCTGCTGGCGTCTTTTCAATAAGGGCCAGGCCAGATTAGTGTGCAAAAGTATTGTACCATTCATCCCTGGAGCACTGGTGGTAATCCGCTCGAGCTGAATGCCACAGTCATTCAAAACAATGATGGATTTCCTCCGCTATTGACAACCGAAAAAATGTTGGCAATGCCCAGCAGCTCGGTCTTTTGTTCCTAGTACGGTCTTTTGTTATGAGGCCAAGCTCCTTTGTCCGATTTCAGGCACCCCAGCTTTGTGTAAATAGCCAACGTCTCTGGTACCAGGCACCCTGGCAGGAAGTGTTTAAACCAACACACACGCTATTCAGATTAACTGTGACAAAAGCATTCCTTCCAGCAGTCACTTTGTTACACTCGACTGATTTCATGAAAAGACTTGTGACAGGGGGCATGTTAGAGGACTTGTGATGGACTTGACGATTACGCTGCTCACGGCACTGCCATACATGCAGACATGAGTGAATGAACTCACCTCTACTTCTGTCCATTTGACACACCTTCTCATAGTCTCGCACCGCTTCCTCGTATTGCTCTGTTTCCATGTAGCTAAAACAGAAATCATCTTCATGTTCAAACATCTCTCCATGATAACCTCAACCTTTTTTTTCAGTTTCTCTCTTAACAACGTAATTAAGAAATAAAAAACTAAAACATAATTAAGAGATGAAAAACCTAGTAGCGACATTTTTGGTTGTGAAAATGAAAGTAGATCTTCAGTGAATTCTTGTAGCGAAGATCCTACAGAGAAGTGGCCATTACAGCCTAACACATCAACACAACTTACATTACAATAAAATGGACAACATTTACAATTTTCAACTCACAAAAAGTTCTGTTTGTTTTTGATATACTCCTAATACGAACCCTAACACATTCCTAATAAGAGTAAGCAATGTTCTCAGCATGTACGTGTACTGTTCGATTTTTCCAAAAAGGAGCAGCCTGTTTTCCCCACAGGAACAGGACGAATTCCACTTGAAGTGTCTCAAGCACGCAAAAGAGACTCTCGTCAGCTTCAGGCTAGTGACCATGTTCTCTGGGTAGAGATCAGGTTAGGTAATGTGTCCCATGACCGTAATATACAGTACTCACCATTTTGCCCTTCTCATAAATGCTTTGAGATAATCAGGATCCAACTCCAGAGCTTTGTTGCAATCTAGGATTCCTTGGTCTGGTTTGTTCAACTATGGAAAATGATCAAGGGGGAAAGGAAGGAATATTCTTCATAATGAACAAATTTACAACAGTAAAAACGTGCACCCACGTGGATGAGATTCTCTTGACAATATGAATAACTTTTAGAACTCAGGTTTGAAACAATACAACATTGCATCAGGTTTACCTTTCAACTAAACCATCTTAATGCTGACCTACACCAGCCTGACCTCTTGACTACACTAACATTGACCTTTGAACTCTACAAATCTGACCCTTCACCTGTTTGACCAGTTTGACCTCTAATCCACATGCACCTGTACTCCCAAATACATTAACTTCCCCTCTAAACTTCATTTCACCATTGTGACCAATTCATTATTGACACCAGCTTCAAAAGTCAATGAATCAACAGGCTAAATAAATCTGCCCTTCAACCAACTGACCTCTGACCTCACCCACCTGACTTCTGAGCATGATTAGAGACCTTTCGTTTCCTATATCACATGTGCAGATTTTGACATTTAGTGGTTTGCCACGAGTAGGAAACCGAACAATTCATAAGGTGATAAAAAACCTTGTGTAAATAAACACTAGATAATACATACTCCTACTAAACATCGACTGAAAATGCCACCTGTTTTCTTACTGACAAAACAAAATGTGTATTTGGGGCAAAAGCTGTGAGCCAAGGGTGAATTTTCTGCAAATACTGGCCGCCTACACAAATGGTGGTCAATGTTTGTCAACACAATGTCTATAAATCATTTTCACCTTTGAGCATACAGTTGCTCTGTTGCAGTAAAGCTTTGCGTTAGTGTTAACATTGAGAGGGTCCACTTGAAGTGCCTCAGTGTACAAGCCGTACGCTTCTTGGTAGTTGCCACGCTTAAACATTTCGTTGCCTTCTTCTTTTTTGGATTTTAATAATTTACATTTCTGTGAGACAGAAAAAGAAGCAAATGTTAAACCATGTATTAAAAAAAATTGTTATGTAATATGTAAATTCATATGAAATAAAACATAACATGAAACACAATCAACTGTTTATAAAAACGGATAACCTTGTTTTCTCTTAACTAGAGACAGTGCTGTAGTCGAAACCACTTAAGACATTCACAAGACCACACAAGACCAGCACAAGATCAACACAAGACCTCTAGTCTAAATTCAAGTCACAAGCTATTCAAATGAACTGCAACAAAAGCATTAATTGTCACTGGTCTTGTGAATGGTCTTTTGTCTGGTCTTGTGTCTAGTCTTGTGATGGTCTCTACCACAACACTGATCACAGATACAAAATGTAGAACCTGGAACTTCTAGAAGTTGGTTTCAGATTTATTTTGAATTCAGTTTTATTTGAAAAATGTGACTGCTTCAGAAGGCCTTCGTCCTGCAAATCCAACAAAATAACAAACAGCACATTCTTTTGCAAACTTTGGACTCATTCAAATTCAGTGTTTACTCTGCAATCTGCCAAATTATAACAGTGAGTATTCCAAAGGTGCATTCTTCGTTATTAACCCCAACCTAATCAAATCCTCCAACCTCTTTCAGCTTTTGGAGGAATTTGATGCAATGGGGCTGTATAGCAATGATGTGCGGCTGACTTTGAAGGATGCATTGTGTCAAGGTCTTGGGCTGGATCCCATGATGGTTACAGTCAGCCAGGCATAAACGCAGACCTAGGCTGGAGTGGTTACCCCTCCTAGGAATTCATTTGAGAAATAATGGATGATTTCGAAGGACTGAGGCCAAATCTAATCTTTACTCGAAGGCAGTTTGCAGATTTCATAGGCTTGAAAATGCATCCTAGCGAAACAGCCTTGAAAACTAGGTTAAAATTCATCTGTTTAAACCCTAACAAACTCAACTTTGTAATACTGACCAAAGGGAGAGCACACTGGCTATTACTTTACATAAGGCTCTAGATTTGAAAAAAATTAATGAATAAAAGCAGACCAAGTCTTAGATAATACGGGCATTTAAGTAGTTAGGATTGGAAAGAGTTTGTGTGTGTAAAAACTGCCTATGTACATTTGTACAGTGTGTCCCCCCAAAATGTCTGATCTGATCACCAGCCTAGTAATGAAATCTATCACTAAACCTAATTGAAATAGCAAAAACAGTGCATTTCACATTTTACAATTCAATTTTAAAGGATACCGTGACAGCACTACACACTGAAAACATGTCCCCTTTGTTTTTGAACTTCTTTCTCCTGAAAAGTGGTACAAACTCAATTTTTAGAGATAGTGTTTTCTGGAGCATATATCTGAATTGCCAAATGCAAACAAAATGCCTCAAGTCACAAGTGCCCTCTTAAAAACCATGAACATTATCAATACTGCCGGTGGACATTTTTGACTTCCAATGCACAGTATTTGCTTGTGCCGATTTTGGGGACACACAGAGTTCCTTCCATTGTCTTCATAGTTCTTCCATTTTCACTTACCTTAAAAGCTATTCTAGCGGGGGAATGATCGGGGGCAAGTTTGAGGGTTTGTTGGAAATGTTGGATGGCCTTGTCCATGTTGTCTTGGTAGTACAGACACAGTCCCCTCACATATATGGCATCGGCGTTCCGTGGCTCTCGCATCAAGACAGCACTAGGGGATAGATTGGGAATGTTGAGACATGGGTTGGGTAATGACCTGGCAATGGGCACTTGAGCTGGAAATGGTTCAGACTAGCAGCCTTGCTGATCCTGGATACATTTCTGGACGATGTGCAAAACTTGTGTGGATTTTCTTTCTAGGGCAAACGACCTGCTTCAAGAAAAGCCATCAAAGACACTGGAATGACATTTCGGCTGCATCGGCGATAACGAGTGACCGCTTAATCTGGATTAATCTGGAAAGCACCTTTCATGCTTGTTTCAGTTTGGCAAAGTTGGGGAGATCTTGCGAACCCAGAATCAGGAACTGTAAGGAAAACTAGGACTTAAATGTAACCTCAGCTTTTCTAAAAGTGATTTTCTCACAATGACCAGCACTGACATCAAAATTCACATAGCTGGTGCATATGCTGCCCTTAATCATACACGTAGAAGAAATATGCACCTCATCTGTATGATTTTTTGGGCTTTATCTTCCTGTTTTTCAAACACAGTTCCATCGAACTTGTCTCACAGGTAGAGCATTTTTAACAGACGCTTACTTGATGGCTTGGGATGCCTCTGTTATCCTTCTCATCTTGGCCAAGGCTTCTGCCCTCTTCACTTTGAATTTGGTGCAAGCTGGCGAGTGGTCTATGGCTCGGTCCATATTATACACAACCTGCCACAAAATATCAGATTAAACACAGAAACAAATATTTTCTTTTCTTTTTGACGATCCATCTTTGTTCAATTCAAAAAGGCCTCCGAGAGATGGTGCTCACATGCTGAACTTCTGGAAATTACCCCTAAAAATGAGAATTTCTTACACAGAAAACATCAGGTCATTAAAATGTATTTTGTGACAGTGCGCTGCATGGTTATTACAATCCTGCACAAACTCAGATTAATTCTGTATAAAATTTTCAATTATCTCTCTCCAATTATTGATTCAGCCAGAAGTACATATACCTTAATATCCTCTCAAAAGTAAACCTCTTCTGTTTAAGGAAACTCTGTTTTGTCAAATGCTCTACAACAAACCAGTACTTCCTTCTTTTTGCCAGAACTTTTGACAAAAAACAGGAAATATGGATTTACTAACAAAACTTCCCAGCTACTTAATAATTGGTACAGATTAATGCTTTCTTTGGGAATTGTTACTGTTGTGGTTTTCCTGTAACTTTATGGCATACCTTGCGAAAATCTCCCGCCTCAAATGCTTTGTGGCCATCTTGGTCGTGATGTTGGACCAGCTTAGCAGCCCTCAACTATGAGGGAAAAAAAAAGCAACAAGTAAAACATGACTACAACTTTGGTGATCTTGATGTCGCAGCAAAAGTGAACTTGGCGAGGCCAAAATTTTGGAGACTTTTATCCTGCTTGGAATCTCCCGAGGCCTACGCAAATCCGCATGGAACAAGTAAAGAAAGAAAAGTGACATTGCCATGAACTGTACCTCTGACTGAGCTTGCTTATTTTGTGGCTCAAAGTCTGCCACGTGGTTGAGTGAGCGAATGGCAGCGTCTGCTGATCCTAATGCTAGGTGGCATTTAGCTTCTCGCAAATAACCCTGGAATGAAAAAAAAAGAAGAGCACTCATTTTTTAAACAAATTTTTGACGTAATAAACTTAGACTCTTTGTGAGAGGTTTAATTTTTGGTTGAACAAGCCCAACTTTTGAACCAAAAGGCTAAGGTTTATCGGCAGGCTGTTAAAATCAAGCAAATGCCACAGATGCTGATTACTGGGAGTTGATTTGTGCAACAGTAAGATATTCCTCACTGTAACTTCACCACTGCAACTGTGATAAACTGTACTAGTAACGATTTATAACAGTGCATTTCATGCCTTTACAATCTATATCATTCACAATTGACTAAATTAGATCTCACAAATTCCACCATGATTCAGCCATCTTTTAAGTTTTCAAGGGTGGGGCACAATGATTTATGGCAACCAAATATGTTTGAAGTACGGTATAACAAACATATTACAGTTTAATTTGGGTGGATTATTCGTGTTTGCTCCCCTCGGATTTAGAAAATGACAAACTAGTTTCCCCTCGAGAATTAGTCCGTCAACTTCCAACACCTTGGCTATCAAACTGCCCTCAAACCATGTGATATTTGTATACTGAGTAGACTGTGTTGCTTTATCTCACCTTGACTAGCGTGTTGTCTAATGTCAGAGCTCGTTGGACATCTTCAAGTCCTTGTTGGTATTTATCTTGCATGATGAACGCAGCTGCCCTATTGTTGTAGTAACTGGCACAGTCTGGACATATGTCTGGTGAAAGGAAAGAGGAAGTGGCATCTTGTAAAATCAAGACGCTGTGAATTACTGATTTTGATAGTCCAAAATCTACCACTTTGCAGGAAACCGATGGCAACAAGGCCTATTTACGAAGATAGTAACTGGGTTCTTTATTCCTAACTCCTGCAAAACTCTCCAGAATCATGTGGAATTTGAAGAATCTGGGGTTAACATTGCTCAAAAACATCCAATTCAAACCAACTTGCCTAAATTCAAGGGACAAATGATATCGGGAACAAGAGATGGTGTGTTTTTACATAGCAATGATGTCCATTTGGTAGGGAAACACTGCATGCATGCGCAGGTTCATGCAAGCCTGGCAAATGATTGCTGTGGGAATGTACAGTGTTTGAGTGTGCACCAGGCACATGCATAACTTCTGATTAAAAAAGAGCTCCACCAGCTAGTCCCTTCTTTGCTGATGGTGGGCTATTTGTAATCAGAGCAGATATCAAAGACAAGTAGCTATCAAAGACCTGATAGTTTTGTGGGTCACTTAATGACAAATAATCAGCCAGCTCACCCGGGAACTACAAATCACACTATGTTATGAAAGAATGTATCCGTTAAGATCATGTTTTGAAAGTCTGTTCCTTGGACGGCAACATGCAATATGACAGAAGGGAATGTGTTCTGATTAACAGTGTCAATCTCAATATAAAATTTAAAAAACCTTGAGGTTTTATGGATTCTAATAGATTTCAGGAATGTTCACACTTTGCTGCCCTCACCTATGAAGTTAAGTGTAAATCACAGCACATGTCCATGATTTTGCAAATGCTATGTTCACAATGTAATAGACATCTTACCCTTGAAGACGTTTGCTGATTTCAGTATTTTTTAGTCTACTGTTGGGCATCTGAATGGAAAATACCCAAAAGGTTTTACTAATGTTTGAGACGACTGTAATCCAGTAAAACACAACTTTATGTATCCATGGACAAAAGGGACCTTTTTCGGTGAATTATAGAATCTTCTTGTGCTTGCCACAGTTAAGATTGATGGTATCTGATAAATTGCTAAGGTGGTTTATCAAAAGAAAACCTCCAGGTTCAAATATGCCTGGAGAGAGTCACTGTAGTTTGCTCATAAGCATAGAACACAGCCAACACATTGTGACCAGGTTTAAAAGCACACACTGAACAGCTCAGGTAAAGTTGACGTATATCTGTGAAGCAACTAACCGATTGCTTCTGTGTAGAGTCGGATGGCTGCCTCATAGTCTCCATTCTTGTAACTGGTGTTGCCTTCGTTCTTCTTTGCTTCAGCGACGCTGAAATGCAAAAAAAGGACAGTACATGTACTTTAAGATGGTGGTTGGAGGGGTACATGCAGCTATGTCATAGGTCACTGCTTTCTTGACACAGTGAGAGGACACCGGTAATTCCAAAAATCAAGTCAGTGTAGGATAACGGTGTCAGGAGCTTAATACACTCCGTTTGACTCCATTTTTCTAAAATTGGAAGAGGAAAGTTCCAAGACCCTAAAACTTACATAAACCATCTACATGTAACTGGCATATCTGAGACGGCAACTTGTTATGCTCAACAAGGCTACACTGTCAAGGACATTTTGTACATGTATGTTGACAAAATTTTGTTTATGCACACAGCCTATGTGTATATCCATAACCCATTAGAATGCCTACTTTTATTATGTTATCTTATGATATGGCTGGTCATAACAACGATCATGAATGATGCTAAGGAATGAGGCAGCAGCTCCACAATCGGATCAGGTACCGGATCAGGTATGGGTAATGAATTATGCGAGGTCTCTCTGCCTAATGAATTAAGGAGTGACACTGAATACTGTACTACAACAGGCCTAAGCCCAGGCCTGTGCCATGTATGCAGTGGTCTACAATATTACTTTGCATCAAGAGGATTCACGCACACAGACTTTATTTTTTACCAATTTATTTCTGTTCATCTGACGGCACATTTAGCACCAAATACAGGATTAAGTGACAATTGAAGAAATGTTCATTCTTTGCGGTGGGAGGGAAACCTTGGTTAAATATTCCAAATATCCACGGAGTCAGGTACATGTAGGGACTGAAAACCCAATCCACATGTTGCCCTACACGTAGGTGGGATTCGAACCCGGGCTGCAGATGTGGAAGGGGAGAAAACGCCAACCTGTCTCCCCACCTGGTCACAAGCAAGAGAGGCATTCGAATACTTCCTTCTCACGCATGCCATGACTCAAGGAATTTTAAGCTTAACCGAATGAAAAAAATGAGTAAGAGAATAGCCAGTTTTGACACCAGTAAGATTGTAATATAGGCCCATTAAGTTGGGTGTAATCGGCCAGTATGCGTAATCACCCGATCTTTGCACAATCAGTTGATCTTACTGCATGATTTGTTGATTCCGCCATCAACTAATTGCCTTTTCTCCGCATCTTAATTCTTTCTGCGCAAGATTGTTTCAAAAAGGGAAGTTTTATGTAAGTTTGAGATTAAATGCAGGATTGACCAAATCACGTAGAAAGATCAGGCAATTGTGCAGATCGGCTGAACATGCCTAACATCTGTACCCGGTTTTACTGAACTTGACCATTTACCAACTCGACTTGGGAAAACTTGACCATTGAGACAACTCAACCATTTACTAAGTTGTCTGATAAGACCGTGCCGGGAGTGAACAAGACAGGGTGCAGGGCAATAAACACAAACTGTATGTGTTTGGACAAAATTGTGTGTATCTTGTCACAATGTGACTCGACTCGCAGGGCATGACGTGTGCAGGGACCCGGTGATGTGGCATGCACAGGGACCCGTGGGTGGCGCACAGGCCGCCCCAACCCTCATGGTGCGAGGCTGCGATGGCAATCGGCATGTACGGTGGCATGCCGCACCATCAACGGAGCACGGGTACGCAAGTCGCACTGATGAACAGTTGCTACTGTGTTAGTTTGCCAGTTTTTCGAGACGGTACATCTCTCAATCCTTCTACTCTTTTTAATTTGGAGAAAAGGGGTGGGTGAAGTGACTGTAAAGCACTTGCACACTCATTACGAGCTAACTTGTCTCAATCAATGACTTGTACAAGTGGTTGAGTTGATTGTCCATTTGAGGCACAGATGTTCGAGTTGTCCCACTGGTCGAGTTGTCCCACCGATTGAATTGTCTAAACGGTCGAGTTGATTTGCTAGATGGTCGACGAGCCCCGTACCTTTACAACGCAACAGGATCCTACTTCTTGTGTTTCTAGGTCTATGGTAGGGAAATGAATAAATGAGCGAGGGCGCTTTTTATTTGGAAACTCATTTTCTTAAATGGGCAACTGTGATTAAAATTTGGCTTTTTATGCACGCTGTATAGTTCCTCTATTTAATTTCCTATTTCAAAATTTTTGAAATTTAAAGTAACGCTAGCATTTGATTCACAAATAAGAAAAAAGATTTTACAAAAACATAAATCTTAAGCTTTTCAGTTAAAATCCACACTTATTTTTGTGTACAAAATCAGTTCGCTCTGCATTACACGACATGCACAAAAACATCTCAAAACATCCACACTTAAAATTGACTTTTCTTTGCTTTGCAGAGTACGATGGAATCCAAATTAATATCAAAATATTTCTTAGGACATCTTCTTCAAGATAACATCCAAAATAAAACAGAAAAATATGCAAAATCTCATTAGCCTCTCTATTGCATAGGTGTCCTTAGTCCATGCTCTATCTGGTCATGCATGTCAGGAAAGTCCCAACGTGAAATTAACGTTAGACAACGTGTGGTTCACACAACCTTCACTAGAAGACGACCAGATGTTAATACAATAAATTTCGATACATTCCAGTTCAACTGATTTCATGTGAATTATTCTCCATTGTGAATATAAAGCCTTAAGTTCCGTAACAATAAAAACCTTACTCTTCATTAATTTCCATGCGATTTTCGGTGGAGTTTTCCATGTTTTCCGTGTCACGTTTGGCAATGCGTGCCACCTACACGATGGATACCCTTCGTCACTCTGTGGGTTATACTACTATGTACAGAGGGATGTTTGGAATTGATTTTAAGAAAATATTTGACTTCTGTGACATTTTCAGTCGTGTTTCAACATACAAAGTAATTTTTTAGACTAAAAACAGTATTTATGTAAATAACAATAAATTATATACACACTTTTTTACAAGTGCCATCGATTTTGAAATTAAATGAAACCCCTATACCTAAATTCAACTTAGCCTACTTCTAGAAATTTCGGTTATCGTATAATAAAAATGTCGGGAAAAGGTTACAAAATCCGGAATGGATGAATTTCACCACAACAACTGCTGCAGTTGAAATATTCTAAAGTAGTTTACGACATAACGCCCATTTCTATAGCTATATAGCTAGTAAAATTTTGACGAACTGCAGGGAACATGATATGATCATTTCCCGGTTTCAATTCACCGGAAGTGCGATTGGCCCACCAGAAGTTAAGGAAGAACTCAGTTAATGAAAAAAGTATTGTATGTTTTTCCTCTATCCATACCATGATGCATTGTAACTGTTGAATGATGCCCCGTGTATGCACTTGGAATGATAAAACTTTTCTGATTCCACTCGAATAATTACTAGTATAGGGCTACATGTAGTTTGATCCATGGAGATACATATGAGGTAAGGAAACTGTCCCTGCTCTATAGTATTTTCTTCATGCATCATTGCATGCCTCGAGAAGCCGGCCACTCAGGCGGAAAATGCTGAAACGTTAAATGTTGTAAAAAAGAAGCATACAAAACCAACTGACTCGACCGAAATAGCGCACGTTAATTAATTAAAATCAAATACACACAATACTTCAGCGCATGAGAGAGCTGAGATGCACAGATCTACAATGACTTTATCTGTGCTGTGAGCCGCTGGTGGACAAAATGAGGGCGCTGTGCCGCTGGGACAGTCACTTTACTGGTTCCCATTCTCTTATACGGTACCTAAACACGTTACATTTATACTTGCGAAGCAGACAAAGTACCAGCGTGATACATAGCAACAGCCTGACAGCAGCGTGCGAGTAATTCTGTTCAGTACGCATACGGTATGTAGCCATGGCTGACGTTGCTTTGGCATTGTAATGTTTACAGAATAAAAACTTGTGAAAATTTATTTTTTACAAATGCATTGAAAGCCATCACTTACCCTAGTTTAAGATTGTTCAGGTAAGTAAAATGGTTTAACAACAAGCTTTGTGTTAAAGTGGAAATCCCTTTTAGAACTCAATTACGTAGGCCTAGGCCTTGAGCTTTTAAAAATGCTACAAATTTTGTACCCAAGCCTGCAAATACTGGACGGGTGATTTTGCACAATGCCTTTTCTACCATTGTGCAAAATAAACCATGCAGCTTTTGCGATAAGGCTGTAGTCATGGTGGGTTGGCCTAGGCCTAGTCCCAGTAATTTGGACCCTACAATTTACAATACAAATCGCCTTTTTTAACATTTGGACATGGTTGATTGATAGTAGGGTTCAAGTGCCTTCCATAGGCTTTTGCTTCCATTAATTTGTTTCACTCAAAATAGCTTGTATCCCGAATCCAAATCCTCCAAATTCACCTCCACAAGGGTCCTTAAACATGTTAAACTGTCTAGTAGGCCTAATTAATACTCCTGGCTTAGGATCAAGTGAGAATCGAAGATTCCAGTAGACGTAATAATGGTAACGTTTACTCACATTTGTGAAGAAAAGAGAAATTTTCCCCTCAAATCGGAAACGGTCTTGTCTTTGAGTGTGATGTCACCATCTCTTTTTTCAAATAGTGATTTGAACTGTATGTTGATGTCCTGGAGATGACATTGTGGTGCACCGATCTCTAGTAGGGAACTATTCACAAAAAGCATGCCGTGTTGGCACACAAGCACCCATGACTGATTCCCAAGGACTGCAATGTCCATTGTACAGTGTTGATGCGATCACAGCTACCGGACTTACGGCACTCGGGAATCAGTTGTCGGCACGCGTGTGCCGACAAAGCATGCTTTTTGTGAAGAGTCCTCTTAACTAGCATTTATAGCTTAGTTTGTAAATGTTTCAGTGTCTAAAACTCTGTAGTCTCTCAAGAATCAGACAGGGACACGGTTGCTAGCTGAGGAACTCTTTCTCCCCTAAACACAGGTCCGACCGCATGCATTGCGTAGAAGTTGTACGGGATAGCTTTGCCAGGCATTTGTACATTAGTGAACAGATACAGGGAGAAAAGCACTCAGTCCGTTGTGATGTGCAGTCAATGAATAGCCCATGCTGAGTGTGAAATTTTAGTTCAAGTTTAGTGTAAAATTTACACTAAATTTGAACTACAAATTATTTAATAAGAGTAGGCCTTCCGGTACAAAGTGTCCATGGTATCAACCTGTCCAGATGCAATGCTTTAATCAGATGTGTTTCTCCATTATTTTTGTTCGGTTTTGACAAACAGGAAAGACAGTGCAAGATCAGTGACTGAATTTTCACTCGTAAGCCACCAGCACTATGGGCCAAACTTTGGCACGGGCCGCCCAGTGGACTTCCGTCAGCGAAGGGGGAGAGGGCAAGTTGGAATTCAACCGGGCCAATGAGATCCTGCTGAACAGCTTCATCCGCTTTGTGGAGGCCTTCCCTTCCAAGCACCCTCAAGAGGCTGCCCTTGTGTTCAAGACGCCACTGGTGTGGAAGACAGTGCTGGATACTTCTGAATTTAGTGGGGACTACGAGCGAAGGTAGATCACTTGAACATTTGAGAGCTTGTAGCCTAGAGGTTACTGCAATTTGTTTACTGCAATTTGTCAAAATTATCCGATTTTGGGGTTTGTGATTTACTTTGTGTATCATTCCACAAACTTGTGTTTTTTAAGATCACTGCATTGAGAAAAAAAACAAGAAAAATGCAGTTTATTTTTAACCCTCGGAGTGCAGCTCTTTTAACTTGTCTTTGAAAAATCCATGGGCCACAGGACGTTCCCAAGTGCATGTACAATGCACAGGCGTGGCTGACCTGCCGACCTGCAGTCACTGCGCGACCACTGTACATCTACATGTTCATGTGCATGATCAACCACACAGTCATTGTTTGCCCTCCGAACATACATACGTCGGTCAAAACCCTCTACACGCTGTCAGTGCCCAGCATAAACACTTCATAAATAAACAATATGGAAACTATCCTTGCATTTTGGGCATGAAAGTTACTGTTATTGGAAAAACAGAAAGCTAAATGTCTTGAAATGAAATACATATCTGTGCAGTAACCGCTCAGTCCTTTTGCAGATGTCACATGGAGTGTGCGTAACTGTGTATCAACAGCTTTGGTTTTTATTTAACAGCAATGATGGATTGTGTTCCAAAGTCAAAGACAAGAATGACCAGCCCTTGTTGCTTGTTGAGAAGCTGGGTGAGCTGAACCACAAAGTCCATGTGTCTACGCTAGGAGAACTGAGCAATCTGCTGAAGGCCATAGGCAACAAGAAGATGGCAGAGGCTAGGGCCATCTTGGAAGGTATGATACCAACTTAGTGTCCCTTGATTTGATTTGAAGGAAGAGGTAATCAGGCAGGAGCCATACATTTTGACTCAATAACAGAAAAGCACATCTTACTTATTTTATTGTTATCCTGTGCATAGTGGCTGGGTGGTTAAGAGTTGGTGGCTCCTGATCATAGGGTAGAGGGTTCAAATCAATCCAGAGGGGAGGGATCAAGTCACTTTACCTCTTAACCTCTCTACACCTGAGGGTAACAGGTACCTTTGATGAGGGGAAGATGGTTGTCATGTTGAGCCCTTTGTGTCTGGGTTGATGGCATTGAGCTCTAAATTCCCCAGGGAGTGGAGATGGTTTCAGGAACGTTCAGATGTTGTGAGCTTGATGAACATGGAACATCAGTACCTTTGAATGACAGATTGTCATGTCATTAATATAAAGTCCTTATTGAAAAATCTTGCATTAAGTATGAAATTGGGCACGAAGAATTGGTAAAATTTAAGTCTATTGGTCCCCAAACTGTTTGTTCAAATAAAGTAGTTCCACAGTAGTTCCAAACATGATCGGTTCCAATTTAGTATTTCTTTCTCTGTTAAAGTAAGGCCCTAAGAGTATTTGCCAAAAATCATGAGAGTGCCATAAAGACCTCGGTTTAAGTACTGAGCAGACGAAATGATGTTAGTGTGCGCCTTATAAACGGTGTATTATTATTTTTCTCTGTCGACAGCTAACAGAGACCCCGTGGCCAAGATCCTCGGGGACGGCTTTGCCACAGTAGAAGGGGAGGATAACTCCACCCTGCGCTTACTGGAGCAGACCAGCAAGGAGGCGGGGGACACTACCGCCGAGGAGAACCAGACTAAACTCCGCCTGCTGCTCCTGGCCCAGCAGTTTGACATGGAGCTGATGAGGAACAGCATCAAGGAGCTGTCGCAGTAAGACTTCTCTCTCTTGAATTTTGCTTCAAACCACATAAAAGCTGACTTAATTTGTTCATCTTTGGTGCCGTAAACACGTACTTCTTTATCTGTGGAAAAGGAAATTTATGTGAAAAATGCATGTGCTGTGCACCGTATACATTGTAAGCACAAATCGAAGATCACACAAATCATGTTCATTAGTGGAATGCAATCAAAATTGTTTCTCAATTTGCCGTTGTATGAGGCGGTCTTGTAGTTGAGACCCCTTAGACCCTCACAAGATCCCCACAAGACCATCATTGGACCAACACAAGACCTCCATGATATGGTCTTAAACAGTATTTACAGTCTTGTGCAATTTTACTGAAACATCATGAAGGAACAAAGATTATCTTCCTTCCCAAAGATAACCTTTATTTCAAAAACTACCTTCCTTAAGAAAAAAAAAGTCATGTTAATCTTTTATTGCTCTATTGAAGCTTTTGTGGCAGTAAATCTTTGCAAAATTTATCTGTTTTTTTGTACAAGTGGTTGGGGGAGTCAAACCGCTCTTTTTTGATTAGATAGAAACATAAATGAGTTCTCTTGAATAAATGTTACCTGTCACATGAATATTCACCTTGCAGAGAAATCCGTCTGACACCTCAGCTGGTCAACAGTGAGATCCGCCTGCTGCAATCCTTCGCTGGCACAGACAGCAGCTGTGCCCTGGAGAGAATCCAGCACATCCTGGAGTATGAGTTTGACAATGGCTGCCATGCCCCTCCCTGGAGGCAGGTCAATGGCGACATCTGCTACCTGCTCATCAAGCCCCTGGACGGGGACGAGGTGTCGGTCACAGCCAACACTAGTGGCTGCTATGTCAACAAGGTTGGTAGATGAGGGAAAGGGCGAGGGGTTACTTACATGAGGGCAGCGATGTCTAGTCAAACTTTGTGTTACTTTTTCTTGCATGAGTGCTTTGATGAAACTCACTACAGAGTCTGTAGCATAGCATTGGCGCTCACAATACAGTTCACTTGGCCACTGTTGGACAATTATGTTATTCAACAATTTTCATTTAACAATTTTCAGGGAGTTACCAGCAATCTGGATGAGTCCAACTTTGATCGTGAGGGTGAGACATTCAAGGATCTGGTCAGCCTCCTATCGGCCCAGAGCAGAAAATTCCGGGACATCATCAGCAGCAAAGAGTTTGCTCTACATGAAGAGAAGAAAACGGAACAGCTGAATGCATACGAGGATGCCCATGTGGACGACGAGCCTGACAAACCAATGGAGAAGGAGAAAGCAAAGGAGGAGAAAGAAGAGAAGGTCATCAAGGAAAAGGTCAGGGGTCAACAGAGGTCATGGCTACATATACAATTTAGAGTGGGACTTAGTTACTGCCCAGTGGAAATGAGATGCTTTGTAAATTTATACACTAAGCAAGAATAGGCTGGGAACCAGCCATAAAGTATTATACAAGCCATGACAGTTTGAATGGTAACCTTTTTCGCTGGAAACATTTCTTCTCCTTTGTGCAACTTGAAGCTAACCAATTCCATACAATTAGCTTTTCAGAACAAATTTGAGCTCAAACTGTTGTGCGACTGCTGGTCAATTGTGTCTCACCAAGTGCATGTGCAATTCCGTAATACTTAATCAACCCTAGTCAAACTATTCAGCACCCAGTCGCAATTGCATATCTTGTTGCTTTAGGGCTTCTTATTATATTCATTTCAGTGGTTCCCTCTGCTTAATTTCAAAGAAGGCTGTTGATAACCAGCAACTCTTACCATACCCCAGGGCCTGCTTCCAAGTGGTCAACTAGATAGTCTGACCATCCATCACTTGACTATCACAGTCACTGTTAGAACTTGCCAAAGTTGTGACTCTCTGCTCAGTACTTTCTCTTCCAGTACACTAGCTATTTTGTGTATTATACACAAGTATTTGCTGTTACGGTTGATTAATGCCTCATTGTATTACATTTTATAGTTGCTCGGTGCTCTGTGTTCAGTAGTAATAAACACCATTTGAGCAAAAATGAACAAATATGCCCTAGTTATACAGATGGTCATCATTTACATCTGCTGCTGTGTTCTTATCTACAGACCAAAAAAACTAAGAAGAAAACCTCTCCCAGCAAGAAGATGCAACCCACGCTGAATTGGAAGAATGAGGAGAACAAAGCCAAGCAAGAGAAAGTTGATAAACCGGAGAAGAAAGTGTCTAGGCAAGCTAGGTGAGTCTAGAGATCAGTGCACTCTAACCCCTATTGAGTATGTCTTGAGAGCTCATGAGGGAACGTGAGGTTGGGTGGTTGGAATCCAGCAGCTGGTTACATGTTGGTTCCATTGCAGTAATAGCTTCTAATTTTAGTGGTTGGATTCTCTCTAATGCTTACAATATTGTAGCAGTGAAGAACAAAACCAATCAGTAAATTTCATATCCCAGATGCAAAGTTACTGTATTTCATTGCTTGCAGTGAGTCAGAAAGATTGTTTCCCCTGTTCTCGTGAGACACTAAGTCCTCATTGGTAGCTGCATGCATGCTTTAGTGGCTTGCACAGTCACTTATTGTGTCATACCCTATGATTATTGCAGTGACCGTAAGACCAAGACCCCAGCTCTGGAGGAGGAGTATTCAGAGAGTTCCTCAGAGAGTGAAGAGGAAGAAGAATCTACAGACCGACGCCAGGAGCAGAACTCAGATCTACCCTCAGAGTACTGGCAGATCCAGAAACTGGTCAAATACCTCAAGGTGAGTTTTATGGAAGGCAGACTAAGGGATGTGTTGAGCACAGAAGTCAGTCTCTGCAAGTTCCTTTTGAATGGGAATGTTTTCATGATTATAACCCCCCCCCAAGTTTACATTTGCAGGTATTTGTCCTTATTTGTTTGCATTTGGGTGAAGGAATGTCAGTCAAGCACAACAGGAATCATGAAAACGTTCTAGAGGCAAAAGCCCAAACATGTTGCTGGATATGGTTGACTGATCATGCAGATGGCCTCCGGATATAACATGCCTGTAAAGTTAAAAGAGCCATTTTTGTAGAATCAGGGGTCAACAGAATCCACTTCCAAGGTCTGGGCTGTCCCATGAGTGATCTTTTTAGAATGTAGCATGCAAGTATTGACACTCATTACGAGTACATTTGGAAAGTTTGAATTTAATCTGAGAGTGCTTTGTTGTTAAAATCATTCACATTTTCATTCACATGTTGGCCTAGATGTACTGAGCAGATGTCTATTTGTGAAGTGAACATTTTTGGCCCACCTGTGTGAAAATGACTCCCAAAGGCTCAGCATGAAGGAAGTATGCATTGTGACAATAGAGGAAAGTGTGTGTGTGGGGGGAGATTGGCCACTCCAATTCTTTTAAGGTTCAATTGTTATTGTGAGAGTCCTTTTTTTTTACCCCTCAGGGAGGTAACCAGACAGCCACCGTGATTGCATTGTGTGCCATGAGAGACTTCAATCTGTCTCAAGAGACTTGTCAATTAGCTATCCGAGATGTCGGTGGACTGGATGTTCTTATCAACTTGCTAGAGACCAACGCCATCAAGTGCAAGGTGAGCACCCATTCCTTGGGTTGTGTGGAGTTCATTTACACCAGTGAGTGTTAACAGAATACGTTGGAGAAAACTGGTGTACGGTGCAATATTTTACATTTACATACAATGCAGTAACCACTTGATATGCCAGTAAATGACTCTCCATCATAAAGATAGCACTCCATAGGAAGAACAGCCTGTGATGTCATACATAAAAATCCACTGATTGGCCAGGGCAAGCCGTCTCTGTGCAATATCTTTGAAAAAATTATGCAGGTTTCGAAACACAGCAGTTCACTGTCATATCGTGCAGTCTGTCCACGCAGGGTAACAGTCCCATAGGAAACATACTCCACATATGTTATCATGCAGAATAGCCTTTACTGCATGTTTTGGAAATGAGTCCTCAATAAACAAGGAAGTTCTTAACTGCACAAATTGTGTTGTAGTACTTTCTTCACGTGACTTTGAGTTATACATAATTTAGTTTTCTGTTGAAATGTTTGAAGTCCATGACGTCATTGTGTGGGTGTAACATGGCTTTCACATGATGCCTCTGGCATTTTGAGTTTGAACAAGACCTCTCTTTGTGTCACCCATTGGAGAGATCGCTGTCCTCAAAATTTTGTCTGCTTTTTTTGGTGGTGATTTTAGTACTGTAAGGAGACCCTTCTGTTGAATTTTTAATATATAGCCCCCAGAAATAAGATGAGGTCAGATTCATAGAAAAGGAATATTTACATGAAAAAATGTTACTGGTGTAAATTCTTGATTTCCAAAACCAGATTGGCTCGCTGAAGATCCTAAAGGAGATATCCCGCAATACCCAGATCCGCAAGGCCATTGCAGACCTGGGTGGCCTACAGACCATGGTGGACATCCTGGAGGCCTCCGACAAGGATCTTAAGTGTCTGTCGGCAGAGACCATTGCCAATGTGGCCAAGTTCAGAAGGGCTCGCCGCACGGTCAGGCAGCATGGAGGCATCCGTAAACTTGTGAGTTGAGGAAGTTTGTTTGTAATTAGAAAGTTTTGCTTTTGTCATCATGGAAGTGCCTAATAGCCTTCATTTGGTCATGCCCTGGATGTCAGTCATGGTTGTTGTTTTGCATTGCAAAAAACCTTTTTCTTCAAACCGAATCGTTTTGTTGAAAAACACAACTGCATTGGTTTAATATAATATATATTGATCTTTGCAAAGACTTTCTTTGACAAAAACGGGAAACTACATTTTAGAAATGCGTGTGTATTTACAACAAGCAATAAAGAGCAATAAATATGAAAATATTTCAAGTGCAAGAAAATGTGTTTAGTAATTTAATACTCTTTTTGGTAGAGCCATGCAAAGTTTGCTTTTCTTTAGTTTTCTCCTGTCTTCCAAGCAGAGCTAATTTCTCTGATCTCATCCAGGTGGCCTTGTTGGACTGCGCCCCCATCGGCTCCGTCCCCGTCACCCCAGAGTCTGAGAAGGATGTGGAGGTAGCCAAGTGTGGTGCCCTGGCACTGTGGAGTTGCAGCAAGAGCACCAAGAATAAACAGGCCATCCGCAAGGCCGGAGGCATCCCGCTGCTGGCCCGCCTCCTCAAGTCACGCCACGAGGACATGCTCATCCCGGTCGTCGGCACACTGCAGGAGTGCTCCTCAGAGGTAAGGGTCATCAAGTTGCCTCTGATTTTAAAAGAATGTGTTGACCTGGGAAGCCAGCTTAGGCCAGTGGTACTTTCCTTGCCTTTATTTCTGCAGCCCAGGTTTGAATCCTGCCAAGGTCAGTAGATTGACAGGTGGGTTGGGTTTTCAGCCCCTAGCTGACTGCAGATTTTGCCCAAAATGTTATGGGGTTTCATTGGTCACACCATCAGTAAAGGATGTCAGACAAAATGTTTAAGTACTGTAGCAATCATGACACAAAAATATGACCTGTAATTTCTGACGTGGTTTGGGAAAACTTACTTGTGACTTGATTTGACTCCGGAAAATTGACTTGAGACATGATTTGACTTACAAAAAAATAAATGATTATTTGACATAGAAAACTGACTTGATTACAAACAAAAATGAATCTGCACTAAAAGTTTACTGAAGTATACAGGACCAATGTTGAAGCAACCATGATGAAGAATCAGCCAGAGATTTATCCTGATTTTGTCTTCCCTCACAGCATAGCTACCGTTTGGCCATTCGCACCGAGGGCATGATAGAGGACCTGGTGAAGAACCTACACAGCGAGAACCAGGAGCTGCAGATGCACTGCGCCAGCGCCATCTTCAAGTGCGCCGAGGAGAAGGAGACCCGGGACCTGGTTCGACTGTACGGAGGCCTGGACCCGCTGGTGACCCTGCTCAACAACTCGGACAACAAGGAGCTGCTGGCCGCCGCCACGGGGGCCATCTGGAAGTGTGCTATGAGCCCCGAGAATGTATCACGCTTCCAGGAACTCAAGGCCATTGAGCTGCTGGTGGGCTTACTCAATGAACAGCCTGAGGAGGTGGGTTGGAAATCATTACGGGTTTGTTGAGCAATCTGTATAGGCAAACTGACAAGGTGCTTACATTGAAAGTATGAACATGAATTACAGAAATTGACTGGAGGGGATTTGAACCTGTAACCTCTATCTTATTATATTATACTGGGGCTCTACCAACCCATACTCTACAAACTAAACATTCAACCCCGTGTTGGTGGTTCTTTCCCATGTTGCAGTATCTTGCCAGTTGGGGGGACAGTCGTCAAAAAGTTAACCTGTAAACATGATAAGCAAAATTAGCAGTGTTGCAAATGTTTGAAATGGTGAATGATTATCGCTCAATGAGGATGTTTCTTTTGTTAAGACAGGTCATCAAACCATGTAGAGAAAAACCAACAAGGTGCTCACCTCATAATTATAAAGATGAACAAAGAAATTGATTGACATATCCAGTTCATCACTGCGTTTATGACTACATCATAGGTGTGCGCACTTTACTTGGGAAATTATGGTTAATTTCCCAACTTTCCGTTGGGTTCTAATAATTTTGTCACACCACTGTTGCAATGATGTGTGCATAATGAATCAGAACGGGATAAGTTTCTTATGTTCTTGTTGAAAACTTTCATGCCAACTGTGAGCAGTAGCCATGTTTTGCTGCAGCGTTCTAACAAGAAAGGAAACCAGGGGTTAATGTCATTGTTTAGAATTAGAATGGTAGAAAACGTGTACAAAATTCATGTACATCTCACAGCCCTGATGTGCTGATGTTTGAGTGTTCGTGGTTCCAATATTTCCTCTGAAGTTGGCACACTTTGTGGTTTGTGCCGTCTGTTATACAGTCCTTTCATGGGAAAAAGGCATAAAAATTTCTAAAACCCATGGCTCCAGAAATGAGATAATCTGTAGAAGACTTCCCGGCCAGCTTTCCTGGTGTCAAAATGGAGCTTTCTAATTTTCATTTACAGTGAAAGAGCCCTATGTGTTGTAAATGCCACTATAATAGTTTAGTTTGGTCATCATCATTTTTGTATGCTTAAATTTTTACGAAGCACCACGTGTATTCATTGGTGCCCATACTTTCAAAAACAGGTCTTGGTCAATGTGGTTGGAGCATTGGGAGAGTGTGCAGCGCAGGAACCCTCCAATCGCATGTCCATCCGTAAAGCAGGCGGTATCCCTCCACTGGTCAACCTACTGACGGGTACCAACCAGGCCCTCCTGGTCAATGTCACCAAGGCAGTCGGTGCCTGCGCTACGGAAGCTGACAACATGGGGTAAGTTGCTGTGAGTTGATCATTAGAGATGACAGATGCCCTTCTGTTGATGCTCGGAATTGATTGTAGACACATAGTCTGGGATATTCCAATCAGATTAGCATCCACTGTTTTATCAGTGATTAAGCCAAGATAAGTTGAACTTGCAATAATGTCCAAGGGCTCAGAAAACCACATTTTAAAACCCATGGGTCCTATTTGACAATCTGAGACAACATAGTCTCTGGTAGCCTGGTTTCACGTTGGTAACTAAACAGTAAGTCCAACACTATGTGTGTCTGTCGTCAATTACAGTTTCTTAAGCGAATGTCAGCCATTAATTCTGATAAATTCACAATAACCCTGTAACCAATAAAACCTGAAATTATGTATTTGTCAGATACCATGGAAGACTTTAATCTTGTATAATTCTGAATTGGATTGGCCTTTATTCCTTAATGTCACCCAATCTAACAAAATGAGTCACAGGCTGCCTTTTAAACAAAGAAACTTGCACCATGGACTTCAGTAGGATCCCTTAATATTTTTCACCCACATAATGCTCATTTTTCATCAGGATGCCAGACTGAAAGATACATCTGAGCACAAAGCTCAGTTTGCTCTGTTTAATGCAAACTAAAACAAACTTAATGAAGGGGAAAAATAGCCTTGAGACTAAGGTTGTGGGTACATACAGGCCATCTTGAAAATTGAGGTTCCACAGGTGTGTCATGTTTGTGTCCCTGTGACACCTGACCTACGTAATCTGAAATAGAACATCAATCAAATCAACTTCAAACTGTTTTTATTTGTACAGCAGGTACATTGTAACTTGCATCAGTTTCCGTCTCTTGGAAATCAAAGAATGTGCTCTTACAAAATCATGTCAGATGTAACAGGGACACGAAAAAATTGGACCCCAAAGAAAAGTAGCTTGATCTTTATACTACCGAGAGTGTGTGACATTCCTCTTGCAGCATCATTGACAGACTGGACGGTGTGCGTCTTCTCTGGTCATTGCTCAAGAACCAGAACCAGCAAGTTCAGGCCAGTGCAGCCTGGGCTATCTGCCCATGCATTGAGAACGCAAAGGTAGGCCTTCACATTTCACAGTACACCGTCGCATCTGTGGACCGCTATCTACCGTTGTTGTGGTTTTTAAGACCTGCTTTTTAGATGTTAGAGTCACATACTAGCCTTCCCAAACTGTGGCAAGCTGCCAGTGCAAACAATAATTTACTAAGAATTTCCCAACCATATGTGATATACTTTCTGCAGCCTGTACAAATACTAAGTAAATACTAGTGGTTTATACCTTATTTTGCCCAGGATGCTGGTGAGATGGTGAGATCCTTTGTGGGTGGTCTAGAGCTCATTGTCAGCCTTCTCAAGTCGGATGACAGGGAGGTGTTGGCCAGCGTGTGTGCGGCTATCGCTAACATTGCAAAGGATGAGGAAAACCTAGCTGTCATCACTGATCACGGTGTGGTGCCCATGTTGGCCAAGCTAGCCACCACTGTAAGTTTGGTCTGGATTCATGACTAGGGATAGGACCCATTGACATGGCCATTGGTAGCCAATATTGTGCGTAGTAAACCATATTGAAAGCCGTGGCTTCCTGTTACTGTTCACACTGACAGCAAGCACAACATGTTCCTGTTTGGAAAGTTAGTATCAACATAATGCTTTGCAAATTGAGCGGGTTTCTGCCTTGTGTTCACACATATAAATTTTGCTCGGCATAATTACCTGTTATAACTGCTTTCTGTTGTAATTCATCTGTATAAAGGGACCTCACAGTCACTCTAATTTGATTGGCATTTATTGCTCATAGCCTTGAAACCTCCAATATCCTTTATTATCAAAGAATCCATTAGCTAATTCTTTCAGCCACTGTTGTAGGCAGAAATTTTAGCACCACATACAGTAGGTAGTAGGAAAACTTCCGACAAAAACTGCAGTCAAATCCAGTGTTGGATCTGCTCAAAAATAAAAACTGTACATTTATCAAGTGGTGATCATTATGCCTTTCTACACAAAAGAAGGTTGATTACCAATTGTATGCCCATTGCACTGGTGTCCAATCTTGGGACAAGTGATCATGTTGCACTAGTGTGGTATCTTTTGATCAGGCCCTGTACCCTGTTGTTGTCATTTCTGAACAGACCGACGACAAGCTGAGAAGGCACCTGGCTGATGCCATCGCACGCTGCTGCATGTGGGGCAACAACCGCGTGGCGTTTGGTCAGAACAGCGCTGTGGCACCGCTGGTGCGCTACCTGAAGTCGCCCGACATCAATGTGCACCGAGCCACAGCCACAGCCTTGTTCCAGCTCTCTAGGGATCCTAATAACTGCATCACCATGCACGAGAGTGACGTGGTCAAGGTAGGAGGCAGATGTTTTTGTGACCCAAATCAGAAATATGTTTGTGATGTCTAAGCGATAACCGGGAATGTTTAAGTTTGGCCCTAAAAAATGCAGAAGAAACGGTTTCGTTACTTGAAAGAGACAAAGTACAGAGTAGTAGATGACATTGTTGACAAAAACATTTCGGTCATCAGCCTCTACTTTTCAAACGATCCCCAGCTATGCTAGCTCCATGTTGCTAGGTTCAACAGGACCCCTTTCATTTCACACAGTGAGCCCATGCCCTACCCACAATTAAGAAAGTTAGCTTGAAGTGACAATTATTTCTTGTCTTTTTTATCTTATCTCAGCTGTTGATCGACATGGTTGGCTCGGATGACTTTGCCCTACAAGAAGCGGCAGCTGGCTGTATCGGCAATATCAGACTACTAGCATTGGCCAATGAAAAGGCTAAATATAAATAGACCTCGCAAGAAAGATATCTTCAGTGTACATCTTTCCATCAAGTGGAGACGGTTCTGAGACAGGTAACTGGTATCTCTGTCACTTTGCATTTTCACTTCTGCTTGAGTTTACAATAGACTTCTGAAAAAACTGTGTTCAGAAGAAAAATTCAAATTCATGGCTGAGCATGTAACATAAGCATGTAACAGTAGCGATGTTAGGCTATTTATATCTGTTTGCATATCATAGAGTTTGGAATCAACAAATACAATTTTGTCAGTATCAGATCATCATGCAATGTTTAGCAGAGCCATGAACTTGATTCAAACAAGTGTGCTTGCTTAAAATAAGTCTAAGTGTTACAGCTTAGAATTGTTCAAATGAGAACAGGCAAGTGGCTCAGAGACACTGGTTTCACAGCATCATCAGCAGGATGAACTGGGGCAGAGAAACTGGTTTTTGAAAACAGTCAGTGTATATAAGTATGTACAAAATATGCAAAAACTACTTCAGGGCAACAGAAGTTACAACCAAAATGCTAATGTCTTCACTGTAAATTGGAGTATATTTGTCAAACTTTGGAACCAGCGTGAAGTATTGTGGGAAAGATTACCTGGAAATGCACAGCATTGTAAGTAGTGGATTTGGAGCTCTTGTGAAAGTTTGTTTAGGTCTATAGACTTGGATGTAGAGGAACCTTTCATTCCTCCAACTGTAAATACTTTCTGACAAGAAGCCGTTTTGTTTACAAGTACATAAAATACAAATTTTTACACTGGGTCATATGGAGTCATTCTTGAACTTGTACATACATGAATGAGGGTGTTAAATGAATGCAGTGTTACTTCTTTTATCACTTTGAAATTATTGGCTTTCCACCAGTTATTTGAAATTTGTAATAATTCCTTAATTTGCCGTAGAGATTTTCTTGTATTCCGTCCATGGAGAGGTATAATATATATAGCGGTTTTAATCACCTAGTGCCTTGTAACAATTTTGGCATCAGTTCTGTCTTTCCAATAAAGAATTCAATGACATGTGTAAGGACAGTATATGAACGTCCATGATCTGTTTTGTTCCTTCTGTGACCGTTTTGACCACAGCTTTGGCTGAGTTTTTCTGCAGACTGACATATTGACAAAAAGACGGCCAAGATGCAAATCTGCAGGAAAACATATAACGGAATTTGGTATCTTAAATTGAAAGCCATGCAGATGTGTTTAATCATTCATAAAAGGAAAATATAATTAGGAGGTACATATTTGAAAATCATGAAAATCATGAAAATCTGACAGAAAACAGCATAGGTAGATAATAGGAAATATGAAATTAAACATAACAAGAAAGAATTTCTAAAGAAAAAAAGCAACATTTACCAAAATAAATACTGGTAGTTACCTGTGAGTTATCAGCATGATAACACCAGAGACCAGTGTTGTGAAATCAAAGTATAAATCATGTTGGTCGGAACAATCATAGGTTTTCATGTTTGCCAACTAGAAACTAAGAAAGCTATGCTTACTTGGTTATTTTCGGCAGCAGGAAGGGCAGTGCGTGGGGTTTGGACAAGATGGAGGTGGAATGGCGTGCATAATGAAGTAATGGGAACAGAGTGGCTTTTCAACTGTTAACACATTTCACTTGAAGCTGTGTACACGTAAGTCTACACAGACAAGCATGATTCCCATTCCGATCATATCACCACTGCTGAACGGTTGCTAACATTTCATTGATACATTCTACTTTTACACCAAATCAGCCGGCTTGGAAAAATACAGCATCTGTCTCATTATGTAAACTGTATTGCAAGCCAGCAAGATACATAAATGCTTCATTAGTCAACTATTACTGATTATCACATTTCTTTGTATGGCTTTTAAAGACATACATACCACGGGAATATTTATTTTGCAACACTATTATAGGGGATGCAGCTTTGGGCCTCCAGTATATCACTTGTACAGGGCTAAAACCTTATTTTAGCAGTACTTGTTTATTTCATAAATAGCTACATTTACAATTAGATTTTGAGGGTATTTAAAGGTACATGTATTAGTTAAAAGTCTTTTATACTTGTTTAAAATGGTTAAAATTGTGGATATTCTTTGCAACCTATTTTCAAATATAAGTAACTCTTGGTTGTTACAAATAAATATACAAGTATCAAGCAACAAAAAGTTATAAATGCATCTGACACCAGCAAAACCTGGATTGAAAATGTTTTAAATAAAGACAGGAAAACACATGTTGTTTGGGCTATACAACCAACTCCATAATAGATCTAGTCTTTGAGATGTGTTAGTTGAAATTCAGGTTGACAGACCTACGACTGACAAGAAACACACAACAGACATGGATCCCTACCCCCTTTTCATTAGGAATTCTCAGATGTAATGGCACCATATGGTAAATCAATACAGTAACAATGTCTTGGCTTCAGGGAACCATACCGCCAGAGGGTAGTGATGATTCAATGCAAGGGAATGATCGAGCAATTGGCGGAAAATGCAAACAAGTCCAATACCATAGGAACTGTAGTGATTGTAGGGAAAACGTGTAGACAGCATAAAACTTTGCAGAATATATGACTGCATTTGAAGCACACCGACTGCAACAAAAAAAAAAGCCTTTTGGGACAACCATTCGGTGAGAACCTGGATTGAGAACTGCCAGAAAGGAGTGAGGATGATTCCAACTAGATGCAAACGATACTTGAGGTTACATCTTGCAATATCACATTACAGACCCTGCAAGTTTCACTGATGACTGCTTTTGAAGAAAAATTCTATGCCAGTTTTGAAAGCGCTTTGCATGTCACAGAATTTGTTAAATTAATGAACCAACATCAAAATAATCACTGCCATTTCTTCCTTGGGACGTCCAAATTTCAAAAACAACAGAATTACAGCAAAAGAGTAAAACATACTTATATTGCACTTTTCCAAAGTTAAAACTTTGCACAGCATAAAATTATATCAAAATAAAACTCATTACATAAACTTTCAAACTTTTCAAAATCAGAAAGATTTTATTTGCTGCAGATGTACTGACCCGATATTTAAAAATAGCATTTTGAAAAATCATAAAGATATCATTTCAATTGTGTTGAACAGTGGTTAACTCAAAATGCTTCATTTTATACAAAAAACTCATTTTTTGCAGACCTTAAAAACAGAAAGTGATATTTAGCTGCTTTCAAAGAATCCTGAAATGCATCACAAATTATCATGGTTTGCAGGTGGTAATGCTGCCACACATGGCTTGTCTCGATTTTTTCTCCGAGTACATACAACTGACTAAATGGAGAGATGCTACAAGATACGATTAATACCTGCTGTTTCCCTGATCTCATAAGGTTGGAGGTTGATCTGTCTCTACAATCTTTTTATACCTGCAGAGCCTGCAGGGATCTTAGCTCACTGACTGAATTATCCTGAGCCGTGTTTCCCATTTGACTTTTTTTCTGTGCTTTTGCTGAACTTACCGTGATGGCATGTAACCATTTCTTTGTGTAAATCATTTATGCGTTCCCACTTGGACTTAACAGTAACAGAACATTAGTTTACTGTGCAAGGTTGGTCTATGTGGCACGAAACTGATGTCCTAAGCATATCTTCATATGCTACCATGCTGTTTGAATGGTTACGTTACGCACTAGAAATATCCTCAATTTTCCATCGTTACCACAACTGATTTGACTGTCATGAAACCTGGTCACATTTCTCCTCATTTCAATTAAATTGGTCAAAATACTTGTGAAGCAAAAGAAACACTGCCTTGATGGAAATGTGCATAACGCCGCACCGTGAAAATAGTGATGTGTGTACAATCGTATCAAATGGGTCAGGGAACCGTTTTTCAAACGAGATATTCTACAATGTACCCGTGTGGAAGTTTTATAGTGTGGTGCTGTTCCCAATGGAACAACTGGAACCCTGTAAATCAACCACTTCTCTGTGGAGAGATTCCATGACCAGACTACGTGGTTCCCGTGAGCAAGATGTAAAACCAATAGGGACGTCAGTTCTCCAGGAATTCTGACTGGACTTGAATTTTGTAATTCTTTCACTCAGTCCAATGGAACAATGGATTTGTCAGGATTCGATAGATATCGGAAATAATATTCTTTCCATTACACTGAACATTTTCTCAGTTTGACTGAGTATTATTTTCGCAAACAGCACTCGAATAATTTAAGCATTACAATTTTTGAGCATTCAACTTTGTACGTTACAAATTCTGACGCACACTGCCGCCAACTAAATCTAACACGCATACACACATTCTTGTCCTGTGGTAATACGCCAACCACACACATTGTGGGGACCAAATATTACTGCGATTGAAGTCCGTACAATCTGCTCCACATTATCTCACACAAAGAAAACTTTCCCACAATGTCATGCCGACCAGGGCACACATTCACACACATAGACTTTTTGCTATAGCATAGGGCCGGGTTTACGGAAACCTTTCAAAGAGGAGAGGTTTCCGGCCAGCATGGACATAGGACTTGTGACCCCTTGGGTCGTGGCTTGAGTCGCCAGACCCTCCTTTGAGGTCTCTCCTCCTCCTGTCTGTCCTCTAATGGGAAGCACGGAGGGTCTAGATGCGCTGAGCAACGAGGCTAGTCCAACTCCTGCCGTCTGTGACTGAGATGTGTCTGTTGATCTGGAGTTACTAGAAACAGTCAATGCACTGCCTCCACTGTATGAAGAATGCTGCTTGGGGTGACTAGAAACAGCTGAAACACTGGCTGCACCGTGTAAACCCTGCTGCTTGGGGTGACTAGATACAGTCTCGGTGGAGCTGAGTGCACCGAGCAAGCCAATCCCATGGGAACCCTGTGGCTTAGTGCATTCTAGGACTTCGGAATGACCACCCCGGCTACCGAATGCACTCGATGATTTGGAGGAACTAAACACATTTGAAGTGGAGCTTGAGCTAGCTGGGCCCAACTGGATAGTGTTAAACCCTGGCACACTGCGAGTTGTAGAAACAGTTCCAGTGAAGGTCATCTGAAAGGGGAGATTAGAAACAGTTGGGGTGGGTCCCGGTGTGGTTGTGGCAAACCCAAGCTCAATTCCCGAGTCGTCTGATGAGAAGAGTTTCTTGGGGACCTTTGAGTCAACAGTAAGACCACTGTTTCGATGGACTGTTCCAGCATGCGAGCCGTATGCTCCTGGGGGGCTGTAGCCTCCTACGGCTCCTTCTAGACCCATACAAAAGCCCTCTGTGGATAGTGCTGAAGATGCGGGTGCTGAAGATCGGGGTGTTCGTACCGGGCTCATCACGACGTCTCTGGTGCGCACGCTCGGAGCGACGGGCTGGCGCTGAAGAGTCCGGGCTCGACGCTCAGAGGTCTCCTTCTCTGCCCGGATCTTACGTACCTTCTCCATGAGCCGGGTTTTGGTCTCTGCGTCCAGCGAGTCTGTGATGTTCTTGGAGCGCACCGGCACGGCAAAGCGGGAGAAGATGCGGCTGGAGATGCGGTGCATGCGCTGCGGTTCCTCCACATCTGACGAGGTTTCTCTTGCAGCCTCCGATGCACTCTTGAGCGGGGCCTGCGTGGGGGCGCCAAACATGTTCAGCCCCGCATTGACGCCGGCCGGGTTGATGGCAGCCGCTTCCACTTTCGTCAGGACTTTGGGCTCAGCCGTCTGATCTACATCTCGCTCCTTCAAGACCTGAGCCAGGCCCAAGGATGTGCTGAAGGTCCTAGCAGCGACAGGCTTAGTGGGTTTGCTGATGTGTTCTGTGTTGGCCATCCTCGGACCCTTGTCACTGTGAAAACAAAACATAAGAGGGATAATAAACTGAAATTAAACAAACTGGACCAAGGAATTTTGAATTTGAACTTCTCAAGAGCAACCTAAGATTTTTTGTCACTTGCAGACTGGTTTAAAATCAAATTTTCTTCCTCTTAAAGTAATGTGCATTTACTTGAATCAGTGATACAGTTAATGTAAATGAAGCACACACTTCAAATATAAAACATCTATGTCGACACAGTGTTCTTGAGACAGACTTAAGTCACAATGAATGATGTGCAAATTAATTGTAATGACTGAATGATTGTAGAAACTGATAACTGAAAAAAAGGGTAAGCTTTGAAAATAAAGAGTGAATTTGTTGAAATTTTGGAACAATTAAAGCTGCAAACTTGTAAAAAGTTGAGGTCACATAATGATCAAACTCCAAATCCAATCTTTAACAGAAACAAGAATTTCAAGAGGAACAAACACAGAAAACATCTGGTGATAGGCTCAAAACCATCAACCCTCAAGACAGGCTCCATGGCAGATTCTTACCTGGAAGTAAGCACCGTGTTATCAAGCAAACCGATGGTGCTCGTGGTGTAGGTGTAGGTACTAGACGTACTGACAAAACATTTGCTAGGAACGCAAGTGTGCTCTGCATGTTACATTGGCAGAAAAACAGACGTAAATGAGCGATGAAAACACCTCAATTCAATAGCCCTGCGTACTGATAATGCATCACTGTGTTTACTGCAGCACATTGGTGGGATAGAAAGGGGAGTCAAATGTCACGAGCGAGAGAAATAGCACACATATAAATTACATTTGATCACCAGAAAGTGAAAGGTGCAAATCTTACCATTTCTAGTTGTCAAGGATAAGATTCAAAATGATGGTTACAAAACAACTGCCTTTTTAAACGAAATAATCATATTCGTATGCTTATGATAGCAGTGTACACACCGCTGACCCACGTTCTTTCCCGCCGGTGCTCTCCGGTATTAAACACTGTGATGCATGCAGGGCTAATCTCTCCTTTGAATAGCCTTGGAATTCAAGACTGATTTGGAAACATGTATAGCTGTAAGGTAAGAGAATTAACTATATGTAACTAAACTTCATTAGTTCAGTTGGCAAAAGGAAAATAAATGAACGTATTACAAAGATTAATCAATACTCTTCAATCTGTTTTCAACACACTGCACAGCCAGTGAAATCCTAACTAGTTTTTGCCATAGGATACATGAACACATCCTTGCATTATGTATACACAGGGACGGCCAATGGATTCAACAGCCACACATGCTAAAGAGTCACTGGCAGCGGACATGTCTACACACTAATCCTCCATTTGTTTTGTACACACAAGGCCCAAGGAGTCTGGGGAAGCAGACTATGTACCTGGTCAATCTACACTGCCTACTATTTGCCTGTTTCTTTCAGACAGATCTGAATCACTATCAGTGATCCCAACGCCGGCTCCCTCCATCCATTAGGTGGGTTCTTGTGTCAGTGAACCAACGATGGATCACTGATTGCGATGTAGATCCCTGTGAAACAAACAAGGCCCTGAAGTAGCAAATGTCGACCCGTGGGCGCACCCCAGAGTGTAGCAAAATGGTTGGGATAGGAAGTATTATTCAAACATTGTTCAAATGACTCTATTAAGCCAGTATTTGTGTTGCTTGTCTGTTTAACAAAAATTTGCTGACATGTCTTTGCCCTGTTTCGAAAGTTGAAATTTTCAGTTAAAACAATAGCCCAAATGCTGCACGACACATTGTGATTCCAGCATCAAATCCAACAAGACAAGGGAAGGGGACAGAAGTCACAGCCCAAAGTGATTCCTTACCGATGACTCGCCCATCATCCTCCACATCGTCCATGGAGTAGATGGTCCCGTCTCTCTCCAGCTCCCTGAAGCCCTTGACCATGACGCCCGGCCTGACGTCCAGCATGCTGGCCATGTGAGGCTGGGCAAGACGCTGCCAGTGGTATAACGTCAAGGAACCTGCATTCAAACACATCCAAAAATGCACACTAAATGAAAGGTCAAGAAAAACCAGCCGCTGTTGTAACTCTGTCTCAAATAATGCAATTATATTGACACAGAAAGATTATGTGACCAGGCAATAAAAATGCATATTACCCTCATCCTTGTGCATATCACATTGTGCTATCATAAATCCCAGTTCCGCAGTCCAAACCATTATGTAGGGATCACTAACCAGACTAATTTCATTCACTGGTACCTTTGTCACAAAAGTTGATAACAGTAAACTCTAGTGGGACCAGCAAACTGGCACACAATATGATCGGCTTTTGAACAGCTGCAATTTTTGTCAATGATTGAAGTTCGTTTGAAATTTGTTTCTTCCTGTAAGTTCCTCAAAAGGATGTCTGCTCAGCTGGAAGAGACATGCTGATTCTCCTCCAAAAATGGGCTTTTGAGCAAGGCGTACATGAATGAAAAGGTTGGTGCCTCACCTTCCATGGGCTTGACAATCTGCAGCTTCTCCGGCATGTACGACCGAAAGCCATGCCCACTCATGGACGGCAATCCTCCAAAGCTGTCCATGGACCAGATGCTCCCTGGGCTGGGGCAGGTAGGGGTCTGGGAGCCCCCTGTGCCCCCTGGCTCTGACCCCTGAAGGAGGCGGAGCTTCTCCTCCTCTGCATACTTGTCCTCTGCCTCCTGGTTCTGCTTGCGCAGGTTGAGGCGGCGGAGGGCCGTTTCTAGGTCGTTGGAGCCAGGGATGCCTGTCCGGCCCAAGTGATGCACAGAGCTGTGTGGTGTGAGAGGTATGACGGATGAAGATAACTATGGGAAGCCTGAAGCCTCTGCTGGTGTTGTGAAAGGAACTAACGCCGGCACTATGTACATGACACATGATACTTTAACAAATGATGTTACACTTCCTTAATACTGACTTTGAACAAAAATCCATTTACACACATGATAATTGACAGTGCCTACTAAGCCTATTGGATAATCTGGCCCTGCTATTACATCTGAAAGGTTTGTCTCAGTTGCAACCACACTGTGTTGCCATCCAGACACCAGACTACTCACCCAGAAACCTTACTGCTCACACAGACGCTCGACTTCTCACTCAAGCCCCACACTTGTCACCCAGGTACCACACTACTCACCCAGACACCAAATTACTCAGATACCTGACCTCCTACCAAGGCCAGGGACTACTCACCCAGATGGGCTGTTGTTTGACTCATTATCCCCCTCGTACTGCTCACTCAAAGGTGCCTCACTCAGCTGAGATCCTGCCATGGATATGACCGAGCTTCCTGGGGAGGTACGACGGCTGCTGTAGATGTCCTCACTGTAGTCTGATGGCGCTCGGCTACTGGAGGCTCGGTTTAGATCCCTCACGGTCCGCAAGATGTTCCTGTTTTGTTCCCTGGATAGAGAAGAGTTCAACAAAACAATGTTAACAATGATCCATAAATTGCAGGAAGAATAATGGTTCTTAGGGGCAAAGCAATCATCAACAGTGAACTGATAAACCATCAACGGAGGAAGGGGGGGTCAATTCTGAGTTATTTTCAAGCAAATTGGTAATATTCACCCGCTTTCCTTCACTCTGTTTATTTTGCTTTTGCTAACTTTCCCCCCCAATTTTCTTTTTCAAAATGTTTTTTTGGTGGGGGGGGAACCACTGCAGCCTCTCCTGGTCCCCTCATAACGTTCATCTATGAATATCTTGGACATGTAGGTTGAATGGTCAGATCAGTGTTTGCTGTACCTTTTATTGCCTCGTCGGCTGAGTTTAGGATTGCCTCCTGCTAGCTCTTGCTCCACAGTGTTGACAAGCTCAGCTGCCAGAGAATCCTGCAAGAAATCATACAGGAAAAACACACACAAACCTTTCATTTGCCAATGATTCTACTCATCAATCTTTACCTTGTGTTTGGTAAAATACCCCCTTGGCCACATGTATGGTATGTGCCTCATGCACAGCACTAAGATTTCCTCATATGGAAAGAGGTGTAGGCATTGTAAACTGTGCAAAATGGTGCAGAACACAGAAACGCTAGTGTAAAGTGAAATTATCTGGTGAGCAATAAGTTTTGCATGAGAGATCCCCGTTGTTCTTAATACCCAGACTCTGTGCATGCAAACTGGTCAGTTCATGCAGTCTCTATACTGACACAGCGACTGTGTACTTACCGGTGGGAAGATTGGTAACGGGTTTACGTTGTATTGCGGCAGGTTGCTCTTTGGTAAGGAACGCCGATGAATCTCCTTGGCCTCTAACCTGGCCTCATTCAACATGGTGAAGTACTCGTCTGCCTTGTCTCGGGCTTCTTGTAACTGGAGGAAGAAAGAAAGATTTGATGGAACAGTTACATCCAATCAAATCTGTCACAAAATCCCTTCAAGAAAATTGTGGTTTTTGGATACTATCACATGCATCTGATTTGACTGATTGCATCTATTTTTACCCCTCAGCTAACTGGAAAATCATCTTTGAAAGTACCTCTTTAGTGAGAGATTGCTGAGCCTCCCTAGCTGCTTGATATTGGTGCTGTAGCTCCTCATTCTCAATAGAGAGCTGCCAAAAGAAAGGATAAGATTACAACATGAATGTAACAATTAAAAAGTGTGGGGTATTAGAATGTGGAAAAGTCTGCTTTTCCCAGTTACACAAAGAGCAATCTTGTCAAAACAAGTAAATTCCGATTAGGAAGCATCTCAAATTTTGTTTTAAACACTTCACCAAGAACCCACAGTCCTGCTGTGTGAAGCCTAAGAAAGACATGGGCCAGTGTGGGCCTGTTTGCTTGCATGTATGTCTGTGCACACTCTCATATGCTTGAAAGGGAATTTTTCTCGAGAGAGATGTATTATATCTTGTTCTAATGGGGGCATTCTGTAAGAAAAAAGAACATTGTGCCACACACACTAATGCCAGATAACACAACTGTGACCATCCATACATCTCCATGGTAACCAAATCAATGATACAGGCCAGTTCCATATTCCAACAGTTGATGCACAAAAAAGCAAGTCACATCTCACTCAAGAATATCAATAAACACATGCAAAGCTATTTGTCTGGGCAAACATTCACCAGCCTGCCGGCAGTAAAAATCTTTCAGTATTACATGTATTTGTTGGGCCAGACACTGGCCTATAATCCAACATTATCACTACAGGCTTTATCTTTCTTCAAGTCCACGAAATGACGCTGTTGGCTATTTTCTGTTGCATTCATTTTCAGGAGATAGTGTTGTTTGTAATGCAGGGATGAAATTGGCACCTGCTGGGTTACATATTAACCACTCTGCGAACAGGATATGTAAATATGATCTAGCTATCTTGCATACACAACCATAGTTGGCAGGTTGAAATGGCAAGCGTGCCTGGACTCACCAACTGATGTTTAAACACAGTTATCCCCGGGTTTTTTGTATACATGTACATACACATTAAGTCTGGGAAGTCAGTGTACTGAACACGAACTTGGCCACTGTGCACAGCCTTTTGTGGCAGTGTATATCGTTCCATGGGCGTGCACCAGTGTGTTGGAAATTATAGGGTGTAGTGAGAAATATCTACCAAAGCTATTCAAATAACCCTAACAAATCACTACTTGTGATGTTTGGCTGTATCCAAATTTTGGCCAAAAGCAACACCACAAGCAAGTGGTTCGTAATTTAGAACACACGAGCCCTGGACTGACCTTTTTGACCTTCTGCTGCAGTTCCACCACCTGGGCCAGCAAGTTTGTAATCTCTTCCTTCTGTTGGTACGTCTCCTCTAACCTACGGCTCAACTCATCTGCTAGTACCCCCTCTCGGCCCTGGGCCTCACCTGGAAACATAGAGATGACCAAAGAAACAGAAGCATTGATGTCTCTGAGGACGCTGCTGCTCTGATGAGGATGATGATGACAGAAGTCTCATCACCCCATGCTCATTGAGGGTAGTTACTGCCCTCTAACATGCTTCAACTTTACAACTAAGGCCCCCATGCATATCAAAAATGGGCAAATCATAATAGAGTGTGCTACGTAGAGGTTGACATGGAGGGGCCATTTCCTACAGTTCATTGTGGGCAATGGACAACAAATTTTATTTTGCCGGATGCATGCTGGGACTTTGAGTTCTCCCCAATATTTGCTGCAGTAGAAGGTTCAGAAGTGTATTTCGAGTATCAGTTTGCGTTAATCAAGATGGTGCTTTTGTAAGGCAGCAGAATTCTGTTCCCATATTTCATAACTCAGAATACTTCACAGATATCCACAAATGCCACATTTTCGTCAACCACGAACTTCGAAAAAAAAAAAGGAGTTTGCATGGCAACCTGTTGGTGGTGCACTCTACTATGATTCTACATTCCATGTTAGAATCTCAATTAGTAGATCTGATCCAGACAAACAGCACTTGAAATTTCCAAGGGAATGATTGGCCATGTACAAAAAAAACCTGAAAACAGCAAACATAAAGCTGAAATGAAAAATTTCGAATAATTTTGTTCAGAGCAGGTGTACGCAAAAGCTGGAATTCAGAGTAAATAGCTGAATAAAAAAGCTGAAATGAGCTAAAATGCTGAATTCTATACACCCATGCATTTCACTCGAAATTCAACAGTTACAGTGTAATTATGGTCTCCAAACATGTAAAATAAAGTTCAGTTATAAAGGCACAGATTGTAATGTATAGAGCTCACAGTGTCTTAGAACATGGTCATAAAGAAGATTTGGAAGAGAAGGGTCCAAAAGAAGCCCGCCTTATGGATTCACGAAAGAGTCATATTTGGTACTTTGGAGGGGGCACTAATTGGAGGAGGGGGTGTAACTGACCGAGCTGCTTGAAGGCATCTTGGACCAGCTGAGCCTCTTTCTCCTCGATGCTGACCGTCTTGGTCTTCATCTCGGCCGTCTCCATCCTGAGCTGGAAGTTCTCTTCCTCCAAGACACGCACCTTCTTCTGAAGCGCCTCCACATTGATGAACTTGGACTGGAGGGCGTGGCCTCTGTCATGGCTGAACATGAGAAAGTAAGAATTGGACACATACAAAACCTGTTATTTAAACTTGTCATGTGTTTAGAAAAAACTGATTACAGTTGGATTTGGATGGCACCCATGGCTGACGCACAATGAGCTTGCCTCTATCATGACAGTGGTCTGGGTTGGATGCCTGGCCTGGGCCACATGAGAGTGGAGCTGCTTGCTGGTTCTCTCCCATGCCAAGACACCTTTGGCTTGACCATGTTGCAATTAAGTGTCTTGACTGTACAGCACACGAATGTACGGAATTTGCAATCAACAACTGAAAACATGTATGAATATTTTGATTCTATCAAAAGAACCGACCAGCTCAATGTTGGTTGTCTCAGAGTTTAAAAATTTTTGATGTCGCTGATTAAGGTGTGCAGGCAACACACTGATTGCAACAGAAGCGTTACTCATGTCACCTAATCAGGTTAATGAAAAAAAGCACAATTCAAAATCAGGTGATGGCATCATGTGACCGATTATCAAGCGACTGATTGTAAAGTTAATCAGAATCATACAAGCAAAATGTTGCAGTTTACAGCAACGATATCAAACTCTGTAGCAGGCATGTGGTGGTCTGGTGAACCAGCCATATTGGAAAGTGTGAAGTGTGTGAAGCAAGCCAGTAAATCAACCAGTCCTCAAACTAGATAACCGACCTACCTCTGGGCTGTGTCTTCCTCTGAGTCGCTATAGCTGACCTCGTTGGTGTAGATCCTGAGTAGCTGCTCCTTGAGTTTAATATCATGCTTCAGTTGTGTATTCTGTAAACCACACCAAAAAATCACATGCAAATACAAGACAAATGCTAGCAAATCACACGCTCCAAGCAAATATTTTTGTTTTGAAGTATTATGAAGGGGTAAGAACAGTTCTAATTCAACGTAAAGTTCTGATCCGTTCGCTCCATTGATCAAATGTACTCTCCTTACAAGTCACTTTTGGTAGTTTAAACTGCATGGTTCTCTGAGAGTTCTAGAACTACATCTGTAGGATTACTTATATAGGCTAAGCAAAGGCCTGAGACTCAGGATTAAAATGATGATCTCAATGTAAGGCACGACACTATACAGCAAGAAAAAAGAAAGAGAAAATGCCATGGTGCACATTTTTCTGCAGCATTATTCCTTTAATAAGCAAATTCAGTATTCCAACAGCGCATGCCCAAAATGAACTGTGTGTAAGGTCATTTGGAAACTGCAAGGTCTGCCCTAAACGCTGACTTGCACACAGCCATTGCTTTTAATTCACCATGCCTGTTTTAAAATTGAACTGGCTCATTCCGGTGGTCTTGAACGAAAACAAAACTGAAAATTGACTGCTTTACAAGGGAAAGCAATATGTGCACGCATTATATTATAAATGGCATCGGGCTGCAATCCAATTTCATCAGTCTGAAGAAACAGTTGTGAATTCAGAGTTCTAGTACCTCGTCTGCAGCGAGGGTGAACTGCTCCTCAATGGCATCAATGCGCTTCTCAAGCTGCTTGTTTTGTTCTAGAAGAGACTGCCCAATCTTGGCTGCAAGCTCCAAGTCTTTCTCTTTCTGTCAGAGGAAGCAAACCACATGTCAAATGCTAGCAAATCAGCACTCTCCTACAAACATGGATCCATCGCTTTTAATTTTGAACATATTTTGCAAAGGAGAATTCAACTGAGCGTACACGTGTACATGTATACATGTACAGGGTACATGCATAGTACACACTGTACATATATTTTTTGTAATGTGTGCAATAACTTTGTGTACAAAACTTACATTTTGTGTTTTGCATTTGTACTGAAAAACACACACACAAATACAAAGTACTGACGATAATCTTATACCCTACCCTTCCATTCTCCGTTTACGGTATCCGCAGCAGAAAAGTAAGTGTTGACCCTCTTTTCTTTATTATAAACCAATCAAAGTGTTATATTTTTACATCAACACTAACATGCATCAGTTGTAATGTCGATACAAACAGATGTACCCCTTACATTAGTTAATGCTGTGCTTATATACGAAGTAAAATCCATTAAGCATGAATATGGATTGTCAACAATTAAGTACAAACAAAGGCATTTTGATGCACAGGCACATGTATGCACAAACATCCGCACATACGTACATGTACCTGCATAAATTATCCAGGCCGACCTTGTCTAAGCTTAATAGCAGCAAAATAAACCTCTATTCCTACATTTTTTTTGAGTTAGGTAGACCATTTTAACATTAAACACAAATAACCAAAAAAAAGACATGATGTAAAACTCATGTACATGTACCTCTTCCAGAAGGCGGGTCACTGCATCAATGTCATTGTATGTCTTGGTCATCTGGACAACACGGTCACCACAAAGGGCTGGAAGGAAAACAAGAGAGGAAGAAAATGAAATACCGGTAAATATGCACAGCAGTTGTGATGTACCTAGACAAATCCAGTGATGTTTTACTGGACATTCTCCATGGCCCCCTTTATTAATGATGAGAGCACTGTGTTGGATTGTTGTATGCAGTGACTGTGTCGGAATAGTGGCTCCTGGACAACAGTTATCACATAGATGACCGCCATTGGCGGGGGCCACTGCAAGTCATTGGAAATTGCTGGGGATGATGACCAAAACCCTCTTATACATGTACAGGGTATCTTTCAATATCCAAGATTTGGAAAATTAGACAGGAAAGTAGAGCCAAGCCATGCTTACTTTACAGTCATTTGCAAAAGTTTAAGACCACCTGGAATTATTGGTATTTCTGTCACTGGGCCTGCATTACATTGTCTCATTGAATGATTACTTAACATGTTTTTACAGTGGTGCATAAACATCAGTGTAGTGCTACATGCCCATTTGAATGAAATTTTTTGCAAAAGCAGGGTCTTGTGTGACATTTTGTTTGTAAGGCAGCTTGGGAAAAAAGCCAGTCTAAGTAATCAGAAACAAAGGAAGGAATATTAACTGAATATTTGACTGTTAACATTTCAAATCATGGAAATGTACTCAAATAGCTGTTTAACCAAGATACTAAGATTACACATTGAAAATAAACATACACTGCAATGAATGATTGGTTTAAGTTCGGTTTTTCTTCAGATTAACCCTAACTCTCTAGGGTGTATGTAAAATCATATTGAAATTGGAGGATTTAGGACTGTTAGGGGTTAATGTATTATGTATGGGTGGTCTTAAACTTTTGCAAATGACTGTCCATGGGGCCATATGTAAGAGCCCTCTGAAGGTTTAAGAGCAAAGCTGTACAGTAATGACATTTGTATCCCAGCATTTACGAGGAGCACAATCAATACAAGTACTGTATTATTATTATTTCCCCACAACATCTGAACATTCCCCACACCATCTCAATTCCCTGGGGAATATGTACATGTACATCCTGGCTCATATCCTGGAAAATGTGAATGGACCTCATGACCAATGATCCATTCCTGGGGTTGCCCTGGAAACCAGGGTTAATTTTTAAGGAGGCAAAGCAATTGTGTACAGTTTGCACTCCAGCTTAGGTACATGTGCATGTATGTGTACTGCACTGAACATGTATTACTTGGCCTTGTGTCTTTCCATTTGGTGTCATAACACACAAGTGCATGTACATGTACATGTATGCACCGGTACTTGACATGGTGTACAATCCAACAGTAACATGCCCACAGAAAGAGCACAGAATATGGGCAAAACACTGTCAATAGCTTGAAACTGAAACTCCCCTCCTATTTCAGTCACTACTTTCATAAATAATACATGTACCGGACATGAACATGTGCATGGCTCAACTACTATTAAAATTCACACATGTTTACAATACGCGAGGTCAATACTTTGTTTTCATGTAGTTAAGAAAACTCAGTGAAAAGACTCATTTTTCTCGCACAGTGAACACTCTTTTTAAGCTGGATTTTTGTCTTTGCATTCCTTGGATTTCCCTCTTCCTTTTGCAATGGATAACCATAATCCCAAAATGCTGCTGAAACTGTTTTCCAGAAAGGGGGTAACCTTGTGTGGACCCGCTTGGTCCAAACGAGGCTCCACAGCCTGCAGTACCTGTATGCAGACCTCTCTAGGTCCTTACTAGATAAAGTCAGCACACAGGTACATGTACATGGTACACTGAGATTTTCAAGTATTCCAGTTTATAGGAATGCTCTAGCGGAACATGAGTGCTACGGTAACCAGTTCATCTGACAGTGAACCAATATGGGCGGAGTCCTTTGTTTGCTCCTCTGATGAAGAGTGATTCATCAGGTGGAGTGGTGAAATTTCCAGGGTCGAATGAGTGAAATAGACAAGCATTTTTTACACACTACATACATGTACATGTACTGTACATGTGCATGTATGATTATGAAGTAAATTTGTGTAAGCTGCAATGTGATTTCTGATTTTGATGAAAATTACTGTTTGCTTTTACATGCATTTGTCTGTCCGTATTTAAATCATTTCACATGACATCCTGGCATGTGCGCATATCATATTACATGTGTATAAATAACAGAGCAACATAAATAAAAGTAAAGAAATTAATAATTGTAAATATGGTAAAGTTAATTGAGTTCACATTCTGAATTTATTCCATAATTTCAGCTCTACAGAGATGTATCAAGTACTTTGGATTGTAATAGATGCCGATTTCATTGGATGTAAATGCTAGTTCACAGAAATAAATATCTTGTACTGACTACAAATTAAAAAATTATGCTAATTGTTCAATTCTGCACATTTCCCCAAAGCAGCCACGTATAAAAAAGGGAAGGGTGTCTTTAAATTACAGAAGTGGCTAAGACTGTGCATATTATTTGGTTACTCTATTAACTAGATCAACGTGTTGATTATTGGGTAATGTTTTTCCATCCAATTAACCATAACTCTCTAGGGTATGTGCGAAATCATATTAAAATTAGAGGATTCATGACTGTTAGGATTAATATAGAACTGCTTTGAGAGAATAACTGTTTCCTTTCTGAAGGCAAAAACATCTCAAATATTCCACTTTTTCAGAAAGGTATACATAAATGACACACAGTATATTGTAAGGACCCTATTTCCCTTTGAGAATCTCATGACAATTTCTTCCTTATTTGTTACAATTTTTAAACCCTAAATGAAAATTAGTGTGTGAAAAACAAAAGCCAAAAATGGCTCATCAACTACTTCAAACTGTAATCAAAAAGGGATCAATGAATCCATGAAACTCAATCACGGCAAACTTGCAGGCCAAGGATTGGCGCAAGGGAAACCAAAACTGTAAATACGGTAATTTTTCGGTCCAGTCTGCCTATTGATCAGTCTAATTGTATGCAAATCACAATAGACCATTATCAAGTCCTGAATAGCCCCTCAGGCCACAGGCCTGCATATACACGTGTACGATGCATTCCCACTACCACTTACTCACGTTATTGAGTTTCAGGTGCTCTCAAAAACACTATGACCCTGTATTTCTATGCAAAAGCGTGTTGTGCAAAGTGCCTAAATGCTTTATTAGTGAGGTATTGTTGCCTTTAAACTCTTTTTTTTACAGGGGGGAGGACATTTCGATTGTACAAAGGATAGTACATGTGTGTGCACGCACGCTGCCAAATCCAAATGCAATACATCAACATGTGCATTACAACTAACAAATGCTTGGGGGTTGGAATAAATAAAACGAACTAGACAGAGATTTCAAATTTCTGCCGTATGGCTAAAAGATAATGCGTTGTGTATACATGGAAGATGTTCTCATATGGAATGTTCAGCTACATGTACATGTTTATTGTTTCATGTTTATTTAAATACATTCAAACTTTGTAGCTAAACTCAAAGGCTGAATTACATTTGAATTTACAAAATAAAAATTACATAAAAACATACATCAATGTAATTATGGTATTACAACATGACTATAAATTACATCAAATACGTGAAATGTATCACATGATTTAAATATTATTTCATTTAATTGCACAATTACAAAGAAGACATAGACATGGGAAAAATAAATTGTACACACGCATTATTGGTAGACTACAGACTCAACATGACATTTACAATGAACACAAAAAAACTCCCACAAAAACACTCAAGGACAAATTAAGAAGATTGACCTACCAGCCACACTGTGAATTTAAAAGGTTAATACAGTAGGGAATTGGACTGTTTTTAGTTGTTAATAACTACATACAAACCTTCTTGAAAACTCAAAATATCCTACTTTTCATTTATATTAAACCTACTTGGTTGGAATCTGATCTACATGTATAACCTCGGGGACATTGGAGCAAGAATATAAGTCTTTAATTTACAGGCTCCCTAAATTTCAACATATTGTACTGAGGACATACATGTACATGTACATAAAGCAGAGATTATTAATACTAGTTTAAAATTATGAAATTTGACTACTCAGTGTTTCATCCCTGCAGGTGAAATTGCTATAAATGCATTGTAGAAATGATTGTACATGTACACGTACATTCATCCAAGTACATGTAAATGTACGTGTACACCTGTATCCAAGGTTTACTGCTTTGACAGTGGTATTTTATTTTTAACAGTTTTTTTACGAAATTTCCCGTCTAAAACGTTCCAGTAATGGTGACTTCAAGTTGATGGCTTGTCACACAAGCAAAGCTCTCTGCATACCAGTATTCAAAATCCTCACTACTTTTACACTGAAGAAGTTAAGATTTTAAAGACTTGTAAAAATCTTCAGAACGGAGGACCTGGCTTACCGAATATTTGGGAAATTTCTAAAAGCACTTTCGGAGGAGAATGTGAGAAATGTGGAAAATAATGAGACAATCAGGAAACAGATTTGCTAAATGATTTCAATCTCCACAAATATCTTTCCTGAAGAAAGCTTTCACTTATTTTGGTTTCAAATTGTTTCTTCAAGTCAATTGTTTCCAGGGAAGGGAGAGGGGGCCACTGGACTTGTTGGGGGTTTAGGGAGTCTAAAGCCATGTAACATGTACCGGTATATACATGTACAGTACAGAGAGAGAGAGAGAGATGGAATTCTATCTGCATTAACATGCACTACATGAACATGTACATTACGCTGCACTTACATGTATGTACAGTACATGTGGGCATCTTAATGTACACAAAAGGACAACTTTATGTATAGAAGACAATGTCTATGACATGTACATGCACATGCATTTGGCACTGCATACATGTACATGTACATGTACATACATGTGCTACAAAAATGGGTTGCCAGGAAGCGACTTATTTAATTACAGAAGGACCTTTAACCATTGCCCTGTACATGTACATGTACAGTAGGTGTCATGGATTTGTGCAGTAAAATCTCAGCTCTCAAAACACTGGCAGATGGCACTGTCCAAGGACACCCTTCAATGAA